TTATGGAGTAAATACTTTGAGAAAAATTATTAGATGTTATGTAAATGCAAGCTAGTCATGATAACTAAAGGGTTATGGCTTTCTTATATGAATGGGAGATGGAATATTCTCTTTTAAGCTTTTAATGCAGCAATAAGTTCAAAGTACCATAAGCTTCAATTATCCATGAATCAAAAAGGAAAGGACACTGAGCATGAGGAGAGCCTGCTGGCAGGTCACCATGAGTTGGCCATGGCAGCTAAGAATGAATGAGGACCGTCTCCTGCAGAAACATGTTTGTGAATCCATTTGGGCTGCTCTTCAGTCCCCAGTGCAAGAATCAGAATTACCTGGGTAATTTATTCCAAATACACATCTGACAGTCTTTCGAGGAGAGAAAGGAGGAAATAATTTCATTCTGGAACTAGCTCCAGGTGCTGCAAGCCATACCCCCCTCTCCTGGCCAGGCTGAGAACTGTGGCTTTCAAAAGAAGCTCCCCCCCACCCCCACCCCGCCCCTCCTGCCTGGGACCTGGGGCTGGTTGGTCCACCTCTCCTTTGCAGCCTCAAATAAAATTGTAACTACTTTTTTTTTTTTTCTTCCTGTGGGTGAGAGCCAATGTTCTATTCGGTCATAAAATAAAGAAGCTAAACCACCTGGCTCCTTTGCACAGTCATCCTGATAAATCGGAAATTCTAAGTAATTAAATCCCACCCACCCGATACCTGGGCCTCCTAGGAGACTGGGCAACCTGAATCTGCAAGCAGGTGTGGGTGGCAACTGTGCACACAACACCCGAGGCAAATCAGAGCCAGAGAGGACTAGAGCTAGGATGAATTTAGATCATCTGGACGAGCCACCTACCTTAACTAATGGGAAGCTAAGGTCCAAAGATGTTCCAACAGTATCCTCCACCTTAGCCACACAGCACACTTCCTCTGACACTCCTGAGAGAATCCCATCAGTAAGCAGGTCTGGGTGGGGTCTGATGACTTTCTGGGTGACTCTGGGGTGCTGTTAGTGACTTGTCTAGGGTCACTGCAGGGGCAGAGCCGGGACAGGCTTACAGCCTTCTTTGCCTCCATTCCACTGTGTCTGCACAGGAACTGACTTTAACACTGAACGGCAGTCATTACCAAATATTTAAAGCTTTCTAAAAGTTCCATAACTGCAAAGCCTTTTCTAACTAGTTGGCCACCGCAGAAAGTTATGGTCCATGCCTTCTATGAAGGTCAGGGCTCTCAAGCCTACACGGACCAGGAGGCCCGGGGGCCTGAGCAGTATCTGCGTGAAAGACAACTGCGCCCCCAGGTGGGACTGCAGGCAGCCGTTCCGGTGGTGATGACAGCACTGGTCCTGTTACCACCAAACCAGAACGAGCATTTCCTGTCCTGTGATGCCCCCCTAGCTGCTCCCCGGACACTGGCTGGATCAGGACGATGACTGAATAAGGCTGAGAAGAATTCACCTGTCTCCAAACAACGACTCAGCAGGCCCCAGAGGACTCACAGGCAGGTAGGTAAGGTCAGGAATGTGACAGGCTATTAATTATATCCTAGAATATCCAACCTCACTGGACAGATGGCTGTGATTTGTCTAGGGAGCTGTCCTCTTCACATGCACATCAGGGCTACTTCTACTGTCACGTCAGAAACTCCCATTTCTCATACACAAATGCACTGGATTACTCCCAATACCACTGCACGGAACAGGGAGTCACAGTGCGCTACCACATGATTTGTTTTATAATCATCCTTCCTTCCAGTCTCTCCCAGGCCAATGGGCCTGGAATAAGCACACCGCTCACTGCACCTGCTCATTACTACTGAGTGATCCGGCAAATGGCATGCCATAGCATCACGTGTGGGGTGTTACTCAGCACACCCACATTTATAGAAAGCCCTGGTGTCTATTACTCACGTCTCAGGTGAACACGTGAGCCAGCAGGCGTGTCCTTCGTGTATTCCCCATGGCTCACTCCAGCTAATGCCAAATGGCGGCAGTCCCCCAGAAAGGACACGTTTAGGGAAGATTATCAGACTTTCAAATAAAAACCGAGTTCAGTCTCCTATGAAAGGCAAAAACCAACAAAATACACTGGACTGCATACATGTTTCATATACATATTTATATATTTTTCATGTACAAAGTTACATTCCGAACCCCAGGGATTCCATAATAGAAATAAATACTGAAATAGCTACATTGCTAAACGAGCTTTTTGCTCATAGAAATGAAGCCTCAGCCTCCAAGAGACAGAAAGTAGGACAATCTAGAACCCATTTTTTCAGATGATAGAGGCAAGTAAAATTGTGGATAAAATATCTAAGACAAAAAACAAATTCAGAACATAAAATGGTTAAAATATATCTTCAAATATTGAGAAATGTATGACATTGATAATAACAACTTAATTTTTTAAAGAGAAAGAAAAAGACATTTTGTGTTATAAAACAGCATAACCCTGTTAGAAAAGCATTTATGATTTCCACATTTCATTCTCTCTGCTCTTCCCATGTTACAAACATGATCAATGACGAAGAGCCCTAAATCTGGTTGAGTCCTTTGGTAACTGTCATAATACTCACAAGGAAATAAATATTCAATTCCACAGCATTTGCAAGACACGCGCTCTTTAGCAGAGTTAATATCCTATGACAACTGTTTTGCTTTGTTGTTTCTAAGGCAGCCATTGCAGAGGGCCTGTTCTCAATGCAGGAAGATCTTTACAAGAAAGGAACCGAGCAACCGAGAGAGACATGTTAGCCTCTTCTATGCAAACGCACGTCACTGGATAAGTTATGTGCTGCATGTGTTGTACTCAAAACCTTGTACACTCTCAGTAAGCCGCAGCTATTCAGATATTCATTCCTATTTTAAATTTTTAGATCCACAGGAATTGGAGAAAAATGCTCTCAAAACTGAGTTCCTAGAGAATATCCTCCCTTAGCCTCAGGGAGTTCAGCCTGCCTTTGCAGTAACGGAAATGCCAGGCTGATGGGTGTGATACGGCCATTCTTGCAGATCAGCAAGGGGCGATGACCGCTGTTCTGCCTCACATATAACCGAAGTTCATGAAGTTCAGCCTCACATATAACCGAAGTGTAATAGCATGAGGAAATTCTCGGAATCCCTTATTTCTTCCAACAGGGGTAATTTCTCTTTTTTTACAGAGACCAACCCCAGGTACTCAAGCTTTTCTGCCCTTGACATGCAAGCTACAGGCAGTTCACACCAACTGCTTTGCTGCTTGTAAGAAGCTTACTTGTTAGCATTTTCTCCCCCAGTTACCACCTTGACCAAAGTGAACGCTCCAAGAATATAAACCTGTTATTAGGGAGAGGGGGAGTCCTGGAAAAGTGGCCTAAGTCTCGGGGCCCTGAAGAGAAGTTTGTAACTTAAGCAAGAACATGATCCTTTTAATACAGTTTTTACCAAGTTTTTTCTAGTCACATACAGTAGCCACAACCTTACTGTGTACACCAAGTGCTCATAGACACATATGGCCAATGGATCCAAAGGCCTCCTTCAGGTCACTAGATGTCGGTATTTTACACTCCACCCTAATCATGTAGCAGACACTGGCATACTTTTACAACTGCCTTTACATGTCAGTTCAAAAAACAGTCCCTGGTGACGAGATGGGCCTGTGTCCGCTTTCTTCTCTTCGATAGTCCTGGTCAGAGGTCGTTACCCAACACGTTTATGTTTTAGAAATAGCACTTACATTCATATTTAGCTTTGCTTAAAATAATGAGTAAAAAATAGTAAATCACACATTTTCAAGAAGCTTGAGAGAAAAAAAACTGCAGCATAATCGTTCTTAAAAAAAACGTATTTAACAGGGTAGACTCTGCTTTTTAAGTGGGCATCAAGGACGAAAAGATGTGTGTCAACGTTCACTCCACAGGATCTTGGTTTGTCGTCTTGCCCTTTATCGTTTTCCTCTTTGACGATGGCCTTCTAATCTTGCAAGGGCATATAGCTCAGATGTGTCATTTACATACAAATATCAAGTGCAAGCGGTTCTGTAGTTTTATACAGAGCAGAGAAACGATGTTTCTAATCAAGTGCCTCTCAGTCCGTTAGGCCACGTTCCATCACAATACAGATTTACTCCTAGTAACTGTCAGGGCAGCCCGAGAACAATCAGTAAACAGGTTCATTTTTTACATGAAAAAAAAACTCAACCAGCCACCACCATCCTCTGATACAAGAAATCCAAAACAATTTCCTTTTTAAAAAATCCTCTCACTGCTGATGCCTATCTTCTAAGCCTTCTTTCTAAGTACAAACTTTCAGACATATTATTAGTATGAAATGAGTGAAACTAGCCTCAAAAAAATTAGCATATTCAGAGAAGCAGGCCTCATAAACTTTAGAGCTCTAATAAGTCAGAAATAGGAAACATTTATTTAAATAGTGTAGTCTTAATTTCTTTAATATAAAACCCCCCCCATCTGATGAAAACAAAGTTTTTATATATCATATAAACAAGATTTTTCAGACTTGAAAATGAAAGTTAAGTAATGTACAGTTAGCTTTTAGCCCTCGTGGGACTTTTAGATAAATCCTGATAATCCACCCGATATTAATTTGTGTCAGTTTTATAATACATTGGGGGAAAACTTTATCACTGTACTCAATGGTACAGTTTCACTTATCAAGTGTTTCCATTAATTCCGTTATTAGTGACAGCTAAAAAGTGACCCCGTCAATTAAAGTGAGTGACATTCGCTGTGGCAGAATAAGCCACATCTGGATTGCTTTCTAAAATTCACTAGTTTGTAGAAAGTAAACACTCTTTGATTTGTTCATAACATACTGACACTGCCTATAACACTGGCGCAGTAACACAGCTAGTTCCTGTGTTCTTACAGGAAGAGGTTTATAATGCGAAGTAACGGGGAGATGCTCACACATCATGTGGCGAATCTTTCTCACAAAGAGCGCAGGAAGGAAGAGGAGGGAAGAACCATGCAGAGGAGACGGCGTGCCTATCTCCTCGTGGCCCATGGGCTCACTCGCTGCCATACATCACTTGCCATACTATCAAGTGACTCCTTTCCGCTCTGGCGACAGAAGGTTCAAGTGGAAGATCCTCTCCCAGAAGCTCTGATTCTCCACCTTCATCACCTGGTGGGTGGGGGATACGGAGACGCGAGTTAGGCTGAGCATGGCGTGTGCAGGCTGCTGTCCATCAGACATGCTGCTTGTGACAGGTAACCAGATTTTAACATTGGTAAAGTGGACACCATTGACTTTGGGGAGGGGAGGTTCTTGATTAAAAATTTGGTCTATATGGAGCTGTTCCCTAGCTTGTCGTGCATTCTTTGCAAAAACCGGGACTTCTTTAAAATGCCACAGGACATGGGACAAATAATTAAAAATTGGGACTGTCCCACCAAAAGCGGGACATCTGGTCACCTTATATAATACTAAGTGGCCAGATTATTATGAGTTCAGAGATCATAATAATCTGACCACTTAGTGTATATTAAAAAAAAAAAAAGACACAATCCAATTTCTGAATATAATTAGGTTGTTCAAAGCAAATACACTTTAGTATTAAAAAAAAAAAAAAAGTACAAAAAGGAAGGAAGGAAGAGTGGATGGAAGGAAAGATATAAGGAAGTGCTTTTCCAAGTAAAAAATTCGAAGAAAAGCTCTTAGAAATAATTTAGAGTGGTTTCTGGTTTCCTATGAAAAGCCAAGTCCCAGAGCCCAGTGGGATGTGAGCTCCCAGAACACGGACTTACCCATTCGAAAGTCGATGTAGCCCTCCCCGCCACTGATGACAAGCATGGACTTCGAGGGCGTCTGGCTGCCAGGCTCCTGTGCAGAGGGCCCTGCTTTGTCACCTGCCAGATCTGTGCCACTACCGCCACTCTGTGGGCCGACAACCTGCCCTGTGTACATGGAGCAGTGAATATTACTCACCACAGGGTGGAGTGGGGAACATTTTTTCTGAATATTTTCAGAAACTTGAACCAAAAAAGCAAGTATATCCTAACACAACCAAAGTACTGGGGATGCTAGAAGCCTCTGCATAATCAGAAAACATCTGGAGGTCTTAAGAGCCCAATTTGAAAATCTAAATGAAGCCATCATGTACCAAACCAGACATAGGCCCAAAATTCAGCATTAAGTCTGTGTATAGTCAGGCTGGTCTTAGCAGCCTGCTTCAGACTTTTACAATCTACATCTCTTGATCTGAGACAGTGGAAAGGCCTCTCTCCTGAGAGGGCACATGTGTGCTTGTGTAAAAGACTAAAGAAAGTCTTCACCTTAAGCCTTGTGAGTTTGGATATTCCTAATTAATATTTACATCTATTTCAAATCCACAGTTTTCCTTTCATGCTTAAGAAAGAATATCTTATATTTTAGATTATGCAAATAAAATTATTGGTAAATGTGTCATTTGCTCTAAAGTTTAAGTTCTAAGGTAGAATCCTGGAACATGCAATGTATAGAGAGAAACCTTAAAAAATTATTCACACTATAATCTCTCTGACATCCTCTTAGAAAGCTTTGACTGCAGGGCATGTTGTTTTCTTGGAGAATCAGCTGTCCTTTGTTCCAAACTGCACAGACCATGCCTCTAGGACACAGCAGGACACAATCCTATGGAGTAACACATTTTTAAAAAGAAATATATGGTGAAGGTGGATAGGATAGTTTGCTTTATTCCAACAGTGTCTCATTCATGCATTACTCCATGATGCTCTGGAAGAAATCAAGCCTGCTAGAGAAAACTACCACAGACTGGTTAGTTCTGACACAGAAGCAAGAGCACAGAGGTATGATACTAGGGCCAACCTGAAGGTTTAATCCTTAGGGCCAACTGGTGAACAATGTTGCCAATTCTACTTCCAGATTTATACCCAGCAGGAAAGTCTTTCCCATATACTATTTTTAATAGTGGGTAGGGGGATGGAGGCAGAAAAGATCTAGAGGCCCATCAATAGAAGAATGGAGCACATTTATTCAGATATCAGAACCACAGTTAATTGAATAAACTAGATTTTTATGTATAAACATAACAAATCTCAAAATGAGAAGTTGCAAAAAGCATATATTAACATAATATTTAAGTTAATTTCAAAACCACAAAAATACTATATATTGTTTATAGACATGTCAAATATAGTAAAAGTCTAAAAACATGGGCGGGATAATGGTTACAGATGAAGAAAAAGGGGAAGGGAATGGGACTAGAGGAATATAAAAGAGACTCGAAGGGGACTCTAAGGCATATTTTTCTTTCTTTTAGAAAGCAAGAAAACACTATTTCCAGCAGTTCCATTTCTAGGAACTTATCCTACGGAAATAACTATACAAATACGAAATGCTGCAGGAAGCTCATTACTATGTTGCTAAGGACACTGAGTAACCAGAGTACCATGTGCCAGCCCTGCACTATGTACGCTAATCACCTAATCGTTGGAACACCTTGGGGGAGGGAAGTGTGATGGTTAATTTTATGTGCCAACCTGGCTATGCTATGGTCCCGAGATATTTGGTCAAACTCCGGTCTAGATATTGCTGTGAAGGTATAGTTAACATTTAAGACAGTGGCCTCTGAGTAAAGAGATTACTCTCCACAAGGTTGATGAGCTTCCTCTTAAATTCTTGATCTTAAGAGAAAAAGATAGTACCCCAAGGAAGAGGGAATTCTGTCTCCAGAATGCTTTGTACTCAAGCTGTAACATTAACGCTTTTCTGGGTCTCCAACATGCCAGCTGCCCTGCAGATTTCAAATATATCCACCTTCATAATCACAAGCCAATTTCTTAAAATAAAAATATCTACACTTCTCCTCTCTTCCCCCCTTCCTCTTCTTTCTCTCACATCTCCTGTTGGTTCTGTTTCTCTGAAGAACCCTAATTAATACACTAAAGCACTATGACCAACGTGACTCGGTGAGTTGGTGTGGTAAAGTCATCTTTAAAATCTGTCTAACTCTTAAACTAGCCTCTGAAGGGGGGAAATTCAAAACATGGACCCTGCTTACAGGTGGCAGAACGCTTTCCACTGGGCATCACACTTTCACCTTTCCTATTCAGATGCACTTTACCATTCCCAAGCACTTTCATTGGTTTTCACAGTAAATGAGGCCAGCAAGGAGCAGATATTAAAATCATGTCATGTAAGATGAGGAAGCGAGACTCAGAGGTTAAGCAACTTGCTCAAAGTGACAGGTGAGTGGCGAGGCGTAGGGCCCCGACTCCAAGTCCACTGTCTTGGCTGCAGCACTGATAAAGGTGCCAGAGCCCCTTCTCCCTGTCTTCCTGGTGACAGGGGCCTCTTTCCAGCCATCTCCTTTATTAGGCCAAGGCCACTTTTGGTATTCTGTGCTGATAAAATAATACAACTGCTTTAAAGAGTAAGCAGGTTGGTTGCTTAAATAAAAACCAAGTAGTCTTTTTTGGGGGATGGAGGAGATTCCAAAACAATTTCATTAAATAGCCCTACAGTGCTCTCTTCTTGCCTCCACTGTAGAACTTTTCATATACATCAGTGAAATGATCTGTAATTCTAGCACTTAGCGTTTGATCAGGTAGTGGGACGAAGGGACAAAGGAGACACTGACATACACCTTCTCAGCAGGATGACCGGCCTCACCTGGGACTGCCACGAAGAATTTCACGGCATCCCGATGCCCATGGAAGCACAGCTGAGCGTGCGCCATTGAGCAGTACGGTATGAATGTCCCTGGGGTCACTTTATCGCTGTTTTCATCACCGTACACGCGGATCACACTTCCAGGGCGATTTCCTGGTGCTCCTGAGGTTTTATTTGCTGCAACAGAAAAACCAAATACCAACTATTTTTCCCTAGAAAACCGTAATGATGCAAAAGGTTACTGGTTAATCCTTGTGACAGATATTATCTAAAAGCTACAGCCAGCTGAGGTAAAACAAAGGCAGCAATGCCAAATCAAGAAAAGCTGGAAGAGGAGAGAGAGCATGCTAGTTATTTTTAAGTACCTCAGGAAATGGAGCAGGGGATTTTGCCAGTCTAGCAATAACTAAGCTCACTTTTTCAACACATCTAGTAATTTTAAAAAATCATTTTAGTTAACAAAAGAAAACATATTTGAATCTTAGGAATATGTTTTGTTTTGTTTTTATCCTCATTTTAGAAAACTAACCAGTACATAGTTAAAAGTAAATGGGCATGTTTTAAAATAAAATTTTTGTAGTTTATCTTCTAATTTTTCTCCTCTGTGGTAAGAACATCTCCCTTGAGGGAGTGGTGAAAAGCTGTGCTTAGAAGGACCCACCCACTACCACAGTCACTTTTGCTGACACCAGACCAGATCTGCTGGATTGCTTTAGAATGACCAGACTCACAAAACATCCCCATTCCATGGCGAGTCAGTGAATGAAAGAAACGTAACTGGTAACAAGAGTAAACAATGTAGATTAATGACAGTTTTAAGAGATGTTTCGTGTTTTTATTGGAAAGGAAAAAGTCTAAAAAGAAAGTTCAGCTGCAACAAAAGATGGTAACAGACTAAGCTGCTGAGCAGTTTGGTGGCCATGTGACAGACGTCAAAAACAAAAACAAAACACCTGCGGCAATGCAGTGACTGCAGTGGTGACATTGAGAACATTCAGGAGGCGTCTAGAGGGTGAGACGGCCTCACAGTGGCTATGCGGGGCAGGAGGGAGAGTGGGGAGGGGTCAGGATCCGCACTTACCCCTCAGCCCCAGTAAACGTCCCTGGTGGAGGATTACAGCTACAGCGGGAGGAGGAAGGGGACATGGAGAGGTGCATGACAGGGGAGAAGAGTTACTATAAGCCACCACTCTCGGCATCTCCTATCTGGTAACTTGGTGCCCGAAGCATCAACCAAATCCAACTTGGTATAATACCAAGTGACACTCAAAAGTTCTTAACCAAAGCTTTGCTCTACAATTTTTCTGCCCAAAAAATACAATTTGATTCTCTGTGATTTTTTCTAAATCATAAAGCAATTGCAGTGATTCATAAGAACTTAATTAATGAGGAACATTACCTAAATGCTATTATTTCCCCTTTCTCATCAAGAAACCTGTTCAAAATAACAGTGCTAAAATGGAACTCTCTTTTATAAGAGCTGAAATGAAATATCCTAGGATCTCTTAGGATATAAGTGGTCTAAGCATGTAGATTTTATAAGTAACTGATTAAGAACTGGTTTGCCGAAACTGGTTTGGCTCGGTCTGTGAAGTGAAAGGTCCCGTGTTCAATTCCGGTCAAGGGCATGTACGTTGGTTGCGGGCACATCCCCGGTGAGGGTTGTGCAGGAGGCAGCTGGTCGATGTTTCTCTCTCATCGACGTTTCTAACTCTCTATCTCTCTCCCTTCCTCCCTGTAAAAAAATCAATAAAATATATATATATTAGAGAGAAATATCGACCAGCTGCCTCCTGCACAACCCCCACCGGGGATGTGCCCGCAACCAACGTACATGCCCTTGACCGAAATCGAACCTGGGACCTTTTACTCCGCAGACCAACGCTCTACCGCTGAGCCAAACCAGTTTCGGCTCAATAAAATATATTTTAAAAAAAAAGAAAAAAAGAAAAGAACTTAGGTTTTTTAAGGCTACAGATATACCACCTTCCAGCCCTCCTTTCTTTCCCTGAAAAAAGGTAGGACCATTCTGAAGTGTTTCCTTATTAATTTATCTTATGGACTTATGGCACGTGTTTCCAAACCATTCCCTGCCTGTGAATTTTGCAACAAAAAAACACTTATTTAATGAATGATCAATGTAATGGGACATAATGAGAGAAACACACAATGTACATTTTGTTCACAAAAATAATGGAACATAATATTAAAAAAACATACAATGTACATTTTGTTCACATTCTTTTCAAATACAGGATATTATGACTGTCTCTAGCATAAGGAAGGGCTTGCTGACCTCCTGAGAAACTTCCCCCATTACTTTTTCTAAGTCAAACAGAATCTCCTAAAGTAACTGCCAGGGAGACATGAAAAACTAGAATGAATACTAGTAGTGTTTCTGGATACTAGTATAAAAAGCAGAAAGAAAAATGGACCCTGTCCTTTATTTAAGAGGAAACAAGTGCTGGTTAGTGTGGTTCAGTGGTTGGAGCGTCAGCTCACACACCAAAGGGTCGTGGGTTCGATTCCCAGTCAAGGGCATTTACCTGGATTGCAGGTTTGATGCCTGTCCTCAGTCAGGGCTCTTGAAGGAGGCAGCTAATTGATGTGTCTCACATCTGTTTCTGTCTCTCCCCCTTCCTCTGTCTCTCTCTCTAAAGAAGAAACAGGACTGTTATTCCTGAATTGAGAAAAAGTGCCTCTCAGAATGCATTGTTACTTGCTACAGTTCATAAGTTTCCATGGATAGAGTGAAGGAACAATAGTTAGATTTTTGCCACCAGCTCGATTTTCTGAATTACCACCGAGCTGCCAATACCAGAGCAATTCCTTCTGCCTGAATTCTGGACAGGACCGTTCCCTGCAGCTCTCCGATCTGCCCTGTGACAGTGTGGGGAGTGACAATATACTTACTTTCTGTCAGCGGGATGGAGATAATGACACCGTTCCCCGTGCCCACCCACAAGCGATTGCAGGACACCATGAGAGCTGTGATCCTCACGAAGGAGAAGCCCAGTTTTCCGGTACCTGCACAGAGTGGGGACACTTCATTAAGAAGCTGGAGTGGATGATGTCTGAGATGCTGGGCCCTCAGCATGGTGGCTGAATAGGAGAGAAAACTCTTTGGCTTTACCACCTCTCTCACAGCTCATGCCTAACGGGACAGAAATTCTAAACGTGGCTGCCATCACGTTGTCATTTAGAAGGAAGATACCGTGGGGCAGGAAATATGACACAGGATTTAATGAGGGAGCTGCAAAACCAAACCAAAACAAAAACCCTCAACAAAACAGTGTTTACTAAATTGAGAAATTAAATGTCCTTCAAATTTATAAGCCGAAAGAGTTCTGGTTTATAAGCCTTACATTTCTTCGTGTAAATGAAAACAATTTTTGCGAACAAAACCTACACTCTTCTCATTCAATGGCAGTTTAGAAATTTTAGGAAACCACAGGCATATAATTTAGGGAGAATCAATGCACTTTGTTATTTCAAGAGAGTTTTTACAACTGACTTTATTTTCTGGGACTTGAGGGGCAAAATTATTAAACAGATAATGCATTTAAAACAAACAGCATTTAAGTCACTCATATTCTACTTGTAAGAACTGAAGAGTATGATCATAGAATCATGTTGGGAATCTTAACTTGACTCAGAAATAGTCTTAGAATCTTCACAGTCTAATGCTATTGTCCAAGTGCACCCCTGAAATCAGTCTGTGTCTGTGGACAAGGGCCTGGTTCCCGGGAGGGCGCCTGGCTAGCACCAGGCTCTCTGAGGGCAAAGGCCCTAAAAAGGTTAGACCCACTGGTGTGGCTCAGCCTCTCCTCACAAAGGGATCCTTATAACGACATCTCACAGTCCCCGCTCTGCCTTAGGAGCTGAGGGTCCAGCAGGGAGCCCGCCAGAGAGGTCCCTGCCCTTCATGGCTGTTAGGGTCTGTGGGAGAGAGAGAGGCAGGGGACAGAAATTACCTAATACCAGTGCAACCACAATAATGAGGAGCCCACGAAGAAAAAGTATGAGATGACCGAAACCCATGGTGGGCAAACTGCGGGTCGAGAGCCACAGGCAGCTCTTTGGCCCCTTGATTGTGGCTCTTCCACAAAATACCACGGCCTGGGCGAGTCTATTTTGAAGAAGTGGCGTTAGAAGAAGTTTAAGTTTAAAAAATGTGGCTCTCCAAAGAAATTTCCATCGTTGTCCTGTTGATATTTGGCTCTGTGGACTGATGAGTTTGCCGACCACTAACCTAAGCCAAAGTGGGAGACAAGAAAAGGTCTCTTCAGACCTAAGCTATGGTCTGAAGATCAATAAAAAGGGACCAAGAAGGACTTCTCAGTCAGACAATACAGTGCATGTGAGGCCTTGTTGAGTTTGAGTCATTGTGGTAGAACAGAGTGAGTGAGGAGAGTGGTCCAGGCCACTTAAATTCCTCTGCTCATGGCACTTCACCTAAAGGCAGTGATATTCTAAAAGTGCGTGGGAGTGGGGATAATGCGTCCTGGCTGCTATGCAGGGCACAGACTGGAGTGGGAAGAGGGAGCCCAGTGAGGAGGCTCAGTGATCCAGGCAGGGAAGGATGGCCCTGGCCCACAGGGACAGGAGTAGAGATTGAAGTAATTGCTTGAAGATATTTTGGGGGCAGACTTGACAGCTCCCACAGGGTAGATGGAGTGTCTGCCTGACACCTTCAGTAATAAGAGCTCACTAACCTCAGGCAACTTATTCACTGGTTCTACCCAGCATAGGAGAACATTTAAAAATAAAACACTTTATTTAACTGACAGAAATAAAACACTTTGGAGGCTTACCTAACATTTTGCTGACATAAGGCTCAATGTCCACATCCTGTAGATGTTGGTAAGTGTGTGCATGGTAGAGACGGAGTGTGGAATCCAAACGAATGGAGACCCACACACCGTCACCTACCCACGCGAGCTGCCGCACCTGGCTCTCCTTCCTGGGGTGAGCATCAAATGATTTCTAGGAAAGATTGTGCAATCACATGTTACTTTTAATATCGGATATGTAGGAGTGTGTGTTTAAAAACTGTGCTAATTTGCACAAAATTTGAAAGGATATATATTAAAAGAGGAGCCTAAATAGTGTTCATGAAACATGATCTGAGCTTTTATCCCAGACTTCAAAATAAAAAGAAAAACCAAGAACTAAAGGATGCTGGATTTTAACACTGTACAGTCATCGACTTAGGGATGACTAAGTCCCATTAGTCCACGTTATGTGTCAGTGTTCAACAATAAGACTGAATTTGACCTCAAGATTTTGTTGGATTGCAGAGAAATTACATGAAGATCCTATTTATATAACTAAACAAAAAGGAGCCTGTGTTGCTGTGTGTGTGTGTGTGTGTGTGTGTGTATATATATATATATATATATATATATATATATATATATGCACACATATACATATATCTGCATGTAAGAAACAGATCTGAAAAATAAAACCAAATAGTTAACTTTAGGACTTTTAGGTAAAGAACAAAGGGAGAAGGACACCTTCCACCTTAAAATTTTCCAGCTTTAAGTTGTCTTAAAAAAAAAAAAATTATATCTAGTTACAAAACTTTTTTTTTTTGGTTGCAAAACTTTTTTAAAGAATGCTACAGATCCTCCTTCCCCTCTACCTGTACATAATTAAACAAATCCAGAACCATATATTCAAACACATATGCACTTATGGATACTAGACACATTATTTCAACATTTGTGTTAATCTTCTTCCTTCAAAAAGAACTCAATACTTCCCATTCTCAGTCAAAAGTGGCAAGATGTCATCAATGTATCATTAAAACACACAGATTGAGAAAATAGTTTCTAAAGAAGCTGAAAACAATTAATCTTAGACTCTTTAGGAAATAGAAATTCAGTAAGCAGAGAAAACATAGGTTAACTTGCCTCAATTTTCATGGCCTTTGGCTGAACCACATAGATTTTGTTCCGATAGCCACACCAGACTTTGTCATGTACCACAGTCATGCATCGGATGGAATGGTGAGGCCGCCCAAGATCTAACAAGTGATAGTTTGACAAATCCCACTGCCCATCTTTAAAATAAGAAACAGAGTACTAGTTAATATATACCACCTTTTACTAAATTTTAACATAAGAAACATTCTATCAGGGAGTATAATTAATTTTATTCATGAAGCACCCATAAATACCATGTATTCAGTATATCCTTTATTTGCAGAAGCTGGATTCTTTTATTTTATAAACTACAAAGTTGGAAGAGACCTCAAAGCTCATCTGGTCCAACCTGCCACTCAATACCTGGTCCTCCCTCCATGCTCTCAACAATAGTGATATGATAAATCAGTTATAAGTTACCTGTTTATAATAATATCAGATGCTTGGTGCATGAATTCATGCACGGGTAGGTTTCCTTGGCCTGGCTGGCAATTGGGACCAATCAGGGGAGAAAGGACTGCGGAAGGTAGGCTGGCCACAGGAGGTTGGCTGTGGGAGTACACTGACCACCAAGGGGCAACTCCTGCATTGAGCGTCTGCCCCCTGGTGCTCAGTGCATGCCATAGCAACCAGTTGACTGGTCATAAGGATCACTTAGGTTTTTATATACAGTATATAGATTTTAAGAATGAGAAAAGATTAAAATTATTATGGGGACAACGTATCTCACTCACTTGCATTCTGATATATTTTCTTGTGTAGAAGTCAAGGGCAACTTTAGGAATCATGTATCCTATAATTTTAGTGATGACAGAATACAAATGAGAGCCAATGCTGGAAGCTTGCTCTGCTTGAACAATTTCAGTGAAAGAAAACACTGCCTCACAAAGCAACTGTTCCATTTTCAGAAAGCTGTAACTGTCAGCAAAATACTTCCCATACCTGGCTAAAGTCTGCCTCCTCATATGTAATCTCCCATTAGTCTGTAGTTTTGCCCAATGGAAACAGAATAAATCCAGTGCAGCTTCTGTTACTGATCCATGTCTTCTCCTTTCAAACCCAAGCCTTCTTGGCATATGTCTTTGGACCCTTCAGCCTAATTCCTCTTTGTCCATCCATGTCCATTTCATATTGTCTAGCTACCAGAGTGGAACCTTATTCTAATGTATATGAGATTTATGACGTTAACTAACTCATACTGAATTGATAGTCAACCTTTAAGAAATTCCCACTCTACAGAGAGGCCTCCTCCATCTTACTCTTTTGAACCCAAATGCAGAACTTGTCATTTCTTTCTTTTTTTTTTTTTTTCTTCATTTATTAAATGTACTTTGCTTGTGATGCTCTGTCAATATAATTTTGGACTCAGTACACTAAAGCATTTAGGTTTTTTCCATAGGCTCTTCCACTTACTGAGTGACAAACACTCTGCCTCAGTTTCCTCATCTATAAAATGAGGATGACAACAGAATCTTCCTCATAAGCTCTGGTGATGATTGCACTCAAAATCTGTAAAGAACCCGAACAAGGTAAAATAGAGGCCTTTCCTTCTTTTTGTTATGTAGTCATTAACCAGCTACCTCTAGGTGCCACCTAAGTACTCCCATAGACCTCACATTTCTCCAAGAGATAGTGGAAACACTGTTCTAAAGGGGGAGAATATAAGTAACGTAACATGAAAATCACTAAACCTTATACAATTAAAAATTATTTTAAACTAGACACCGGTGCACAAAATTTGTGCACTAGATGGGGGGGGGGGCGGCAGGAGGAGACTCTCCTCAGCCTGGCCTATGCTCTCTCACAGTCCAGGACCCCTCGCTCCTTACTGCCCGCCTGCTCACTGCTCCTTCCTTAGCACTGCCACAGAGGTGGAGAGGCTCCCGCCATTGCCACTATGACTACGCTCACCAGCTGTGAGCCTGGCTTCCCCTATGGGAGCACACTGACCACCAAGGGGCAGCTCCTGCATTGAGTGTCTGCCCCCTGGTGGTCAGTGCACATCACAGTGACTGGTTGTTCCCTGTGATGGTCACTTAAACTTTTACTATATAGATACTTACCAAATGTAAGTAGATGCAAGTTATTTTTTAAATACTGGACAAAAGAAAATTATCCTCTCACTAAATTTCTCCCAATTGATTAAGTACATGAATAAAAAACCAGCACCTCTGTCTCACACTGTGTAAGAGGACCATAAAATGTTAAAACTGCTTGCTTAGTATAGTAAATATATTTCCACTGAGGTATACTATAAATGTATACCTCCAACCAGGCACTACATATTTACTGCTGTCACACATTGTTAGTATTTGGTTTAAGCCTTTATTCTTTCTGCTATTAAGCAACACTTCTTTAAAGCATAAAAAACTAATCTGTTCAAAAATGCTCTTGCAATGCAATGAGTGCACTTATTATCTATTCATAACAACTCACCAACTCCTCTGTGAAAGATAGCAAGGGTGCCATCAGCCAGGGCCACTAACACAATTCCTTTCACGTGTCTGCAAACGGGAAAGAGGATTTCAGAGCTCTCCATGAGGAATACAGAAGGGACCACACGATACTGAACTAGTTCAGAGGCTCTCAGAGGGCCAGTACATGATAAATGAGGAGCTCACATCAGAAGCTAAATGAACACCCCCTCTTCTTCATTGAAAGAACTGTGCTCTAAAAATGTCACTGAACTAGATAAACAGCATATGTGGTGACCCAGATGTTCACGAGGGGGCACAAACGCCTCTTCTCATCACAGACTGTGGACAAAATGTCCAGACCAGAGACACTCCTCGAGTAGAACTAACAGAGGCAGCTCAGTCACTAAAGAGACACATAGAAAAGGACTAGTAAAAGCCTTACTCAACATATTCACAGAGTATAAACAATATTCTAAAACAAATATATATTCACAGATATTAACTGGTTTCTCCCACAGAGCACTAGAGAACTCATAGCATGGTGAGGTATCAACCTGGCATGTTTTTCTATTTTACTTTCTAGTTTCATCTCATTCAACTTATCTAATTCTATAAAGAAGGTAAAAATAATCTGGATATTGATTTAGTCATGAAATACATGTTAGCTTTAATAGCCTTATAATCTAGTTTAAACCAAGATACAGTATTTTTTAAAGAAAGAATTTCTAAAATAAAACTTACACAATACTGAGAATCGAATCTTTAAGTTTAATAGAATGGAGACATTTCCTCCACTGGGCTACAGATGAATGGACATACAAACTGCAAGAACAAAATCAAGACTGGTAAGGCATAGAGAACATCAAGTCATTGCTTACGTCTAATAATGACCACAAAGTTCCTTCAGGAGGAAAGAGGAGTAACATACACATTTTAGGGGAAAAATGAGAGAACGGGTAAGTCTAAGGCAGAGAAATAAACTGCCTAAGCAAACCAAAACATATTAAGAATAAAAGCCAGAACTAGAATGCAGTGTCAGTTTCAGGCTACCACACACTTCAGAATCCTTGGCAAAATCTTTTTAAAAAAACGATCACCCTTTTCTACTAGACTGAACTACAACTTGGTGATGACAGTGGTTTACATCCGGCAGAGGCCTCCAGAACCTGCAGGACACACCAGCCCTCCATTTTACAAGGCTGGGAAAAATCAAAGAGTATTTCATAACATGAGATTTATATATGTGCAACTCACACTCTGTGTCCATAAGTAAAGTTTTATTGGATCACAGTCCCACTAACCCACTTACATGTTGTCAAAGTAATGGCTGCTTTTGCACCACAAAGCAGAGTGAAGTTGCAACAGAGATCATATGGCTTCAAAGCCTAACATATTTCTTATCTAACCCGTCCTTCTTTTTATAGTATTAGACCACTATGGAAAAGATGCACTAGTGACCTTGCTTAACCTTAGGAAAGTATAATTTGGTAAGACCCCCCACACCACTAGAAAGTGAACAGACCATGTAATAATGTTTGTTATCACCCGCTAAGCTCTTAGACTGATCTGTCTGGTTTTCCTAGTAACTCTATTGAAAAGTTTTGTTTGTATTTGGGTCTTCCTGCAGCCAAATTCATTAGTTTAATCCTACATAAATCACCTATATATGCATCAATAATTCTCTATCTCTGTGCTATTCAGGATCTTCTATTTCTGGATCACTCAGATTTTAAAGTTTTATTAACCTCTTCTTCCAAGAATATTATTTAAAGGGAACACCATGACAGAGAAACATGTGATTTACTAATGCAAGTCCAGTTTATGAGTGTGTTACAATATAACCTTACAATTTATGTGTATGTAAAATTCTTTAATGTGTACTTTTTGTTTATACTTATGTGTACCACATTTTACATATCTTTAGTTTCTAAAGCAAAGGTAAAAGACTAAAGATATCCGATATTAAATGAGTTGGCACTTACCAGCCATTCTGAGCGCCTAGCCACATAGTTGGTAAAAGGCTACTCATTTTCTGGGCTTCTTCTCTCGCCAGATCTTGTTCATTTGGCAACACTGATATTTGATCTTTATATGCATCTGAGTCATTACTAGGAAAGGTGGGACAAAAGGAAAAAAAGCTGAGTATGCTCAGTTAGTTTTCAGGGATTGGTCATTTCTATACTTTAGTGTACAGTTAAAAATAAAAATCAAACACTAAAATTCCAGAAAAGCCAAAGTTAAATGCTTACGTTAAACATTTCAACTATTGTACAAGAAGAAAATTAACATATTAGGAAGACCAAGTTGCAAACATGGAGTTAAGAAATGGTAATGAAATATAGCAGTTAATACCCAGACTATAATTATCCCTATCCCTTATAGTTATAGTTACTTTGAACTTTATCAGTTTCTTCTTAAAGGAGAAAAGAGGAAGGGATGATTTGTTTTAAAAACTACACACATACACAGAAAGGAGGGTAAAATATAAAGAATTTTCTAAAATAAATTAATAAGCTTGCATTTACTCCAAAGCCTTCTTTCTTTTAGATTGCCACATATATAATAAAGAGATATAATTGGATTATAAAATTCAACACAAATAAATGTACTAATTCTAAAAAGATGACTATTCTCTTTTTAAATTGACTTTTAGAGAGGGAAGGAGAGAGAGAGAGAGAGAGAGAGAGAGAGAGAGAGAGAGAGAGAGAGAGAGAGAGAACAGTAATGTAAGCATCGATCTGCTGCCTCCTGCATACCCTCTACCAGGGATCAAGCCCACCTCCCAGCATGTGTCCTGCCTGGAAGTCAAACTGGCAACCTTTCGGTGCACAGGTTGATGCCCAACTGAGTCACCAGCCAAGGCATGACTTTATTCTTAAACTGACAATTAAATGTTAAGGTATTTAATTGTTCTATATACTAAGAGGAAAAATATTAAATTGCAAAAAAAAAACATCCAGTTTAGATAAAACCCTATCTGCAAGACCTAGAGTAGGCAAGAAAGAAAATTAAAGAATTCACGAAATAGATCTAGATTAACCAACCTTTTACAGAAAGAGCCTAAAACAAATCGTCTTTTAATAAAATGTTTGCCAGAGAACTAAATTCAGAAAGGTCATCCAAGCCCACTTGGGAAATTTAAACAATGGCCAATTTCACTGCTGACTAGAGTGGGAGTGAGAATAGGGGTGGGGATGAAAATAGCAAGAATTATTAATAGAATGGAAGACAGTGAATACAATTTTTAAAAAATCATTCTGGAGGAGAAAATGACCAGAAAAATTTTGACTAATATATTTTACAGATAAGATTTTTTTTCATAAATTGGAAGGAAAAGAAAGCAAATGGGGGTTGGGTGAGGTATCCAGAGACAATGAAGAGGAAGGAATAAATGACAGAGTGGGAATAAGTTATAGCACCTAAGTCTGCCACAACAATACCAATCAGTGGGAATATTTTGGCTGTTTGAGGTTCTTTTGGTTCCTTTTGTGTATGCATTGATGTGGTTTCCTAAGTTCTTGATCCATTTGAATACCTTGACTGATACACTGGTGAGAGGTCTTCTGGGATTTGCACTCCCAAAGGATCTGTGAAGACGTGCTCTGTGTACACGCCCGTCTGGGAGACATCCGTGTTGTCTTCAGCTGACCCTGCATTGCCTTCTGTGGCTTCTGTTGCTTCTTCTGCCGTTGGAACATTTTCATCAATCTCACTACTTTCCGCTTCCTTTTCTAAAAAATAAATGAAACAGCTAACCATTCTGAGGTAGAACTTTTCTACCAATAACTTCCTTGTACAAACCCTTCCACTCCACCTACCCACTCTGCAATATATCCTGACATTGAGAATTAATAATTTCATTTAACAATCATTACAGCATCTTCTTCTATGTTCTTTCATTCTTGTTACTTTAAGATCTCCATTAAGTCCCTTGTGAGGCCTCCGGGGCAGGCTCTGGTGCTGTACAGATGGCAGGTGAGGAGGATGGCTTTACCTGGCGGTTTTTCTGTCACTGGAGAAGCACCGTTGGTACTGGGGGGAGTGGCACCTGTTGTCACACCTTCTGCAGAACAACCGACCACCGTGATGCCTCCCAGCAGGCTGTCTGTCTCTGCTGAGCTATTGCTTGTCATGCTGCCAGATAAAGACGCTTTGTCTACATGGCCAGATTCTGAAAGCTCTTCTCCTGCTGGGTAGTCTGTTTCTCGTGCTCCTAAAACACAGGACAAACCTTCTTTTAATGCTAAGTAAACTCATAACTAGCTTTTTCTCCATAAAAGCAACTATGTTTTTTTGTTTTGTTTTGTTTGTTTTTTTTAATATATTTTATTGATTTTTCAAGGAGAGGAAGAAAGAGGGATAGAGAGTTAGAAACATCGATGAGAGAGAAACATCAATCAGCTGCCTCTTGCACACCCCCTACTGGGGATGTGTCCGCAACCAAGGTACGTGCCCTTAACCAGAATCGCACCCGGGACCTTTCAGTCCGCAGGCCGACACTCTATCCACTGAGCCAAACCGGTCCCGGCTGCAACTATGGGTTTTAAATAAGAGTGTATAGGTAAAGACAAATAGGTACTGCCAAGATAGTTTTAACATGTTTTTAAACTAACCTTTAAAAACATGTTAAAACAAAATGGAAAGCAATTTAAAAATTTAAGATAATACTTCTAGTAATGCTAGCAAAAGAAAACATGAACATGTCAGAAATTATGCTTCTGCTCTTAATATGAGCTCCTAGGCAGCCAACTAATGAGGTTAAAACCAATGAAATCTAAATGTATGTAAATTATACTCATTATTTGAAATATGGACTTCTGCATACCACAATTAAAAATTAATCAACCCAAATGTACACAGTGCCTTAAGTAATTGTAACACATTTAAAAACTAAGCATTTGTGATATAAAGATAAACCTCTTCATTTTTTTTTAATTTAGAAAGCTGTTTTTATTCGTGTCTCATTAACATTTTTTATTGTAGTCAAATACACACATATGCATAAAATTTGCCATCTTAAACTTTTTTTTTTTTAATATATTTTATTGATTTTTTACAGAGAAGATAGGGATAGAGAGCTAGAAACGTCATTGAGAGAGAACCATCGACCAGCTGCCTCTTGCACACCCCCTACTGGGGATGCGCCCGCAACCAATGTACATGCCCTTGACCAGAATCGAACCCGGGACCTTTCAGTCCGCAGACTGATGCTCTACCACTGAGCCAAACCGGTTTTGGCTGCCATCTTAAACTTTTAAAAATATTTTTATTGATTTCAGAGAGGAAGGGAAAGAGATAGAAACATCAATGATGAGAGGGAATCATTGACTGGCTGTCTCCTGCACGCCCACCACTGGGGACCGAGCTTGCAACCCAGACATGTGCCCTTGACCAGAATTGGCAGGGCAATGCTCTATCCACTGAGCTAAACCACCTTCAGCATTTTTAAATGTACAATGCAAATGGCATTTATAATACTGTATAGTCATCAAAACTATCCATGTCTAAAATTCTCCCATCACCCCAAACAGAAAATCTGTACCAATTAAATAATAATTTGGTTCCCCAACACCACTCCTGCCTGCCCTTGGTAATCAACTTTGTTTTCTTGAATTTGCCTTGTCCAGATAGCTCACATAAGTTGGATCATATAATATTTCTCCTCTGTATCCCATTTATTTTACTTAGCTTAATGTTTCTAAGGTTAATCCACGTTGCAGCATGTATGAAAATTTCATTCCTTTTTATGTAATATTCCACTGGGTAGATATATCACAAACCTATTTCATTTTTAAACCAATGTATTTAACATCATATAAGATTTAATCTAAAACTTTAGAAAGCTTTCCCTTACTAGTAAATCTAAATAATCCCTTGGATTCTGCCTTCCAGTCATCATCTAATATTAGCACTATTTTATTTTCTTCACACCGTCTGAAAATATCAGGTTTAGTCATTTGTTCCCAGCTTATTTTTGGTCTTCCTAAGTAGAACACAACTCCTTGCAGGGGTGAATGACTATGTCTCCAGTCAAATCAGGGCCTGCAAAGGAGGCAGACGGGGCACAGCTCACTCTTACCTGGCACACTTGCTATACACAGGACGTGCGAGTTGCAAACAGTGAAACTGTCTAAGATGTTGCCTGGTTGAACAGCATCAATAATAATCACTTTTGTAGCTGCGTGAGTACTAGTACAGATCCAGACTAGACTAGATAATTCTTCTTGATTTTTTAACTCCTTCTGCTGTTCCTGCAGAAGCAAAAAAAATAATATTTAAAATTATATATGTGGAAACAGTCAGAAAGCTATGCCCTTGCAAACAGTCAAGGGCAACACTATTTCAAGTTTATTTCCCGATTATTTGGAAGGCTGAAAATACAGCTGTCTTTCCACATTAATCAGCACATAAGAACTAAGAGGTAAAGCAGATCAGTGATAAAATCTCGACTGTGACAGTTATTACATACTTGCGCACATCTGTCCAATCTCTGGACTATAAACATTTCAAGTATATACTTTGAATGTAACATATACCTCAAACTGATTGTGAAGAAGAAGCAAGGGCATAGTAATCCCAACTAGAAGTTAAACCCAGAAGTAAGTTTTGGACCAAAAAGCTAAACTACTAGTTTCAGGCACCAGGAGAGACAGGCGTTTGTGCACACACTTACCTTCAGTTCCTGATCGAGCTTGTCTAAACTACTCTGAGATGCACTCCGCTGCTGACTGCCTTCTGCATCCAAACCAGCAACATCCTTGTAAAATACACTCGCTCCAACAACAGAACCGCCATCTCTGGTCTTCCCACCAGATAAATTGACTCCAACAGCACACCACAGCTTTTGGAGTTCAAAAATAAAAGGTATTAAGTCACTTTTTCTCTAAAAATGTTTAGTATTTTTCACATTTTCTTTAAAATTCTAATGATTATAAATATAGGTCTTTAATATTCAAAGTATCCCAGTCTAAAAATTACAAAATAAAAAATCTGATCAGCAAAAGTAGGATTTAACAATTTTTGTTTAGAAAAAAAAAATCCACCCAGATTTTAAGTAGCTCCTTTAAATTCAAAATTTATTTACCTTCATTGATGTATCTTTTTCATCTAGAGGCCTGAGACAGACAGGCACAGGTAAATTTTTCATCTTATTTTCCCCTTGACCATTGGTTACCTAATAATTTGGGAGGGGAGAGAAAGACATTAGCCTTATAATTCTTATTTGAAAGACAAAAAAATTAAGTGGCAATTAGACAAAATAAATAAGATGCTATGAAATATCAGAAGACAGACTGATTCACGTATGTGGGGGAGGGAGAGTGAGTGAGTGTGTGTGTGTGTGTGTGTGTGTGTGTGTGTGTGAGAGAGAGAGAGAGAGAGAGCGCGCACGCATGTGTTGAGTTTTTTGGGGAATAGGCAATATGGAGTAGACAGGTAAAGTTCCTGAACACCTGAACTGAGTTTTAAGTCAAGTGTTTGAAAGGCTCCATGCCAATGGCTTCTTAAAACGTTTAAACAATAGATGCTATTTTTCAAAAAATAAAATCTTCAAATATTAAAACACAGCTGGGTACGTAAGTTCATGCACTTGGCCACCTCTGTTGACCTGTCTCCCTCCTTAGACTCAGAAACATTTCTTTTGAGCTCTAGGGTGGAAAACAGCCTGGAAACCACTACCTCCAACACTTCTCTCAATGGATGCCAAGTGCAAACAGTTTGAAATGAGTGGGTTTGGGGTGTGGTTTTCAGTTCCTTCATGTCCCTGGCATTTCCCACTAGATGCCCTTACGCCGCTCCCACGTTACCTGTTTGTACTTCTGAGGCAGGCTCCAGCCGAAAGCCTGCACTCTTCCGTCCTCCTTCTGAACGTGTGCCTTCACCTGACGATACTGCTCTCTCTTTTGTTCTCTGCGTGAGGCTAAACTAGCTTCAGTTCTAAAAGAAAAAAACATTCCTTTTAAAGTTAAGTGATTATATACAGCTCTCTTGCTAAAAAGAGTAAAAATAACAATACAAAATTTACATGATTTCAGATTGGTTTACTTCAGACTAAGATTTCTCCTTAAATAGTGTTATATTATAGCTGGTCTTTTCAAGTTATGCAGTGAAAAAATTGTCCAAGTTTAACAGGTTAGTAAGCAGCCTACCATGTTTCCCCGAAAATAAGACATCCTCCTAAAATAAGACCTAGCGCATAGAAAAATAAGACATCCCCTGAAAATAAGATCTAGCGCATCTTTGGGAGAAAAAAATAATATAAGATACTGTCTTATTTTCAGGGAAACAGGGTATTATATTGAACTAGTAGCCCGGTGTACAAAATTCATGCATGGGGGGAGGGGGGTTCTCCCTCAGCCCAGCTTGCACCTTCTCCCATCAGGGACCTGTCGGGGATGTCTGACTGCCAGTTCAGTCCTGATCTCGGGGATTGGGCCTAAATCAGCAGTTGGACATCCCTCTCACAACCTGGGACCACTGGCTCCTAACTGCTCATTTGTCTGCCTGCCTGATTACCACTAAATGCCCCCTCCCCCCCGCCAGCCTGATCACCCCTAACCACTTCTGCCTGCAGGCCTGATTACCCCTAACTGCCCCCCCATGCTGGCCTGATGGTCCCCCAACTGATCTCCCACCCCCCTCGGGCTTGATCACCCCCAACTGCACCCCCCAGCTGACCTGGTCTCCCTTCACTGCCCTCCTCTGCTGGCCTGGTCGCCCCTCACGGCACCCCCTGCCACCTTGATCACCCCCAATTGCCCCCCCTTGCTGGCCTGGTCACCCTTCACTGCCCCTCTCTGCCAGCCTGGCTGCCGCCAACTGCCCCCCTGCCAGCCTAGTTGCCCCACACAGCCTTTTGTTCAGTGGTTACTGTGAGGGTGTCCTGACCAATTTGCATATTACCCTTTTATTAGTATAGATCATTATTTCTGTCAGGTTTCAGATTTTAGCTATATGAAAGGAAAAATTCTTAAATATTTTTGCTTCCTCATTTTTTTGGTTCATTCAACAAATATATACTGAGAAATTTCTAATGCAGGAAATGTGCTAGATAGGAGTGACTCAAGACCAATAAATCAATATCTTCTTAGGAAGATAACAGGTTAACTTCTGGATTCCATTACTTGTTCCTGAGGACAAATATGCAAACTGACTTGGTAAGCTTTAGAGCTGTGCAGTAAAATACCATGAAAATAATTTATCTTTCTCTGGGCCACTTTAATTTTTGTGAGGAGACTTGCTTGGTTTCTTAGCATTAACAAATCTCCCTGTGTATCAGACACTTTACAGATACTACAACCTATATAATTTAATCCTAACATGTCTGAGATAGGTTACCATACTCATTTCACTGGCAGCGAAACTGGGTCTCTAAGAGGTTCGTGTACCAAGTTCACGTACACCTAATGAGAAGCAGAGTCAGGCTGAAAAACCAAGTCCTTCTGGCACTAAAGGAAAGTAATATAAGCCTTTAGCATTTCAATTAGTATTTATCAATGCTGTCATACCAGAAAAAGGATACATTAAAAATTTCCTTCTCTTTATGAAAACAGATGCAATATTCCTAAAGTGTATTGACTATAAATAACTTACTTACAATAGCCAAGTTTCAGACATAGTTTATATATAAATTTATCTAAAACTTTACAGCTGAGCTGTTAAGTGGTGAGAATATCAGAACTTATTGAGGGCATAACCACTAGTCTGGAAAATACTTACTCTTCACTAAGGAAGTCAAAGGCTTTGGACTTGTCCCCAGGGAGCTGAGATAAGGTGCTGCTTCTTTTCTTGACAGAAGGAGTGACGTGAGAGGTGGGTGCATTATACTTCAGATTAACAGGTGGTTCGGGTTTCTTAGTAGTGTTACTTGAGGAGCTAAAAAGTCGGCTAAAACTAAAAAGAAAAAAGTGAGTATGTGTATGTCTATATATGTATTACATGCATTGTAAAAAAAAGATCCATCATTTCCACAAATTCCAGAGTGTTTTTACAAGGCAATGAGTTAAAAACTAGCAAAAAAAAATGTGGTCACACAGTGCAGCCTTAGCAGTAACTCACAGCCAAATGCAGACATTCAGGAAAGAGAAACTATGCTGAGCCTGGCAGATCCCTGCTCTTTAATTAGCAATTCCCATAATGAAAGGAAGACGCTCTGAAGTACCAGGAACTGCTCGTAATAAAGACATAAGAGAAGATGGCCCCTTTAGCCAGCTCCTGCTTGGTGCCACGTGAGAGTGACTGTTAAAGAGGAAGGTTATGGCATCATAGCTTAAACAGAAGCCAGTAACCAGTTCTAAAAACAGTCACAATAAAGACTAGAACATACATTACCATTTTAAATACACATTTTCTTATTACACGCAACTTAAATGACTATTTTGACACCCACTCAGAAAGACCAATAGTTCTATTAAATAGGAGATTCACCAAAAAGGGTTAAGTATTAAGTTCACTAAACACACAGTACTTCTAGCATGAACAGAATTCAAGTCCAAAACCAACATACACTTCTCAAACCCCACAAACACTGAATTTCTAATCTTCGCTTTGTAAAGTTTTGTACAATCACACAACCAGGGAAGCACCAGTGAAGCAGCCATTTATTAATGGAGATCCAGGTAATTATCAACTCTGAATAGTTCTGTTATTGAATTTAACTTAGCAGAGGATTCCATCAAATGCATAACCAAAATGATGCGGCTTACGACAGCAATATTTTTGTCCTCAAGAACAGCCTTACCGAGGTGGCACACTACATATCAAAAAGAAAAAGTTCAGTTTAGCTACATATCCCAAATTTAAGAAATATAGGCAGAAAGGAAGGGAAGAAGGAACTGAGGAAGGGAGGAGATACCAAATCATTCTTGAAAATAAATTTTGACTGTAATCTTGTCTCAAAGTGCTATCTAATATATTTATGTGTTTTTAGATACTTACAACTGCCAGATGCTTGATCTTTTTTTTTCCTGCATGGCTGGATTTTCTCTTGATGCTCTACATTAAAAAAAAAAGGGAGGGAAAAGTGTTATCAGTAAAGTGCTCTAGCTGTCTAAGAACAAGGACCAAAGAACTACTAAATGCATGATATAATCAAAGGACAATAAAAGTTGAAGACAAGAAAATATGTTCATAAACTTTAAAAGAATGTGTATGTGTGTACTATAACTGGTAAATCTGATGTAATATCGATAGTCCAAACTCTAAAATGTGGGCAAATTAGGGGATGACTACAAACTTTTCATGAGCTCCTCCTAAATTAAAGGAATACTGTAACTGCAAATCTGACCATTAGATGGCAGCAGTAGAGGTGAGATTTAAGATCCAACTGACAAAGACATCAATAGAAGTGGGAAAGGGAAATAAAATTCAACAAGACCATTTTACAGGGAGACGCTGAGTAAAAATGACCGTTTCCTATTGGCATAAGAAATGCTTGTATTTCCTAACATTACTGCAAAAGTAGTGTCAATTTCTATATTCTCCTGAGAAATGAACCATTCCTAAGTAATAACAATTGTGTGTAAGAAGTTATAGGAACATTCTCCAAGAGCCCTTTACTGGTCCAAGAGACGCCCATTTTAATCACATGCTGTTGCCAATTCCAAGTGTTACTTTTGAAAGTCTCTCCTAGTAAAGAGAGCAAGGGGCTTGGATCCCCAAAGGAAGAGCTCTTAATTCTGAATGAAGGAATTTCTAGGAAAAGCTAAAAACAAACAAAAAAAAAACAAAACTAGAAAAACACCAGAGATACTTCTCATACAAACCGAATCATCTCTGTCCATCGAACGGCTTCCTGAAGCTCCATCAGTCTCTCTTTATACTGGTTTCTCTCCATTAGAACTCGGGCCATTTCTACTCTAGTAAACCGCTTCCTCTGGGCTGTGGGAATATCACTCTGGAATGAAAGGAAGACTACAGGTCTCTCAGAGCCTGTACCTGTTTTGGTATTTTCTCAGACATAAGGAAATCTTCAAGTTTTTAAACATTCCTTAATTTCTAATCTAATGGATCACTTAAAATGACCTTATAAAAATAACATCAAGAGATATAATTACTTATTAACAAAAAAGTAGACAATTTAATTTCCAAATATAAATAAAGATGTTTGAACATAAAAGAAATAAAAAATAGTATAGATTTTAAACTCTAACCAAAAAAGTTAATTATTGGCCCTGGCTGGGTAGCTCAGTTGGTTAGTATTGGTTGGGTTCATAATGTTAATTATATTGTTAAGTTACTATCCATAACTTATTTATGTTACACATATATTTTATGTATCAAATATTGTATTAAAAAAACAAATAAGAGATTGAAGGGGCACTAACTAATTATTCTGCCCAGGACACCCATATAGTTCAAGTCTGAAGCTCAAGTAGTAAGCACCTGTTACAGGAATGATAAAATAGCTACCAACAGATAGCCTAGTATGCTAATATTGGGAAGAAGCCCATATTTATATTTTCGTATTGAGATATGTTGATGACATTTGGGCTAGGGACCTCGTATTAAATGCTAGATTTCATTTTGTCCCCTCACCATTTACCATCCCCACCTGTACCCTTCTCCATCTCCACCCACTCTCTTCCCTTCATCTTTTAATGTTAATGCTATTAAACAATATTTATTATTAATTTTTCATATTTCTAAGTGAAAATTTGTAGCCAAACAAAACCAAAGACTCAAAATGTCCCTGTGGGTTCATGAGCCTCAACATGCAGGTCAGAGCAGAGAGCCGCAGGGGGAGGATAAGCACGTCACATGCAGCTAGAGGATTGTGTATGGACACCGCGTGGGAGCAGAAGCTACCCAACTCCTGACCACAAACATGCCTTCTGGCTTTTTTTTTTTTTTTTTTTAACTCTTTAGAATACTCTATCCAAAGTTTAATTAGTAAGACTTCCCGCCAACACAAAACTGTGATAAGAAAAAAAAGCCCCCAAAATGTAAACCTACATCATCGTCATCTTTTGCTTTTTGCCTTGCATCTTCAGCTTCTGCACGAGCTCTGGCAGGAAAACACAAAACATGTTATGTGAGTTGAGTTCACCTTTTTAAAGGATGAAAGAGTAGGCAACAAATTTTAACCACCACTAAATGATTATTTTTTGTTTCCAAACAGAATCTTTATTTAGCTACCTTTATTTAGGACAACATGACCAGAGCACTGTAGTAGGGGGGGGGGAGAGAGGGAAATTACATATTAAAAAAGGTGGGGTGAAAGAAAATACAAAAATGCTAATATTCAGTAAATGGGGGACCTGCCCACAGCAGAGGCAATCAGTTGGCACCTGACCCTGTCCCAGGCAGCTCCTGGTCCTTCCTGGGACTATCCTTATAATGGGTGGAGGCTCACTGGCTAAGACTGTTAGGTTTAGAGCAACACAGAGAAAACTTACTTCCTCAGCTCTTCCTCCAGTTCTTTGTTCTTTTCCTCCAGCTTCAATTTGGCTTGTTTCACAGCCTCCAACTCCCCTTGCAGCACATCTTTCTCACAGGTCAGCTCATCCACTTTTGCTATCAAATCATTCTTCACCACATTCAAAGCATTTCTGAGAAACACATTTCAAGTGCATCGTTACAAATAAATATTCTTCCCATCTTTCAGCTTATTCTTTTGCAGACTGAAGTATACACAATTGTAAAGCTGAATAACTGAGTACTTCAAAGGCATTCTACCTGATATCGTTTGTGGATAAATGTAGCATCCATAAGAGTATTGTTGTTAATAAGTTCTGAAGATATTACCTAGTCAATAAAGTAAAATTAATTCTTATATCTATCTTTAATTAATGAGAAAAAAGTCTGCACTAGAAAAAAAAAATCTGCGATCTATTTTCCTTTTGGGTTCAGTGGGCGTAGGAGTTCATTACATATTCCGTCTGTTTTGGATATACACAAATGTTCCAACATTGCTGACACAACAAATTAACAATGTAGCCCGATGTTTTTCACATGACTCAGGACCCACCCCACTAAACAAGACGCCAATGTGCTTGAGGGCCTAAGACCCACAGACTGTACCTGAGAACCTACAACTATAGTGGAAACTCAAAATAGGTGAGCTGGGTATAGAGCAAAACATTTTTGCGGAAATATTAACAGGAAGCCTGGATAACTGCATAGTGGAAAAATAAAAATCTCTGCAAACAAACTGAGCTACGAAAACTACCTATCTGTGAAATTAGGTTCCATGACGTGTGTGTATACACACAAACCCATACACAGAGGAGAATAAGATGGGGTAGTAAGACTGCATTAGTGCTGTGTTAAAATGGAGAAATGTCATTGACTTAGACAAGAACAAAATTCAACATCTTTCCCTTATTAAAATTCTATATATACTTACTTGGTTTCCAACAGTTGTGTATTTTCTAATATAAGATTCTCAACTTCACGACCCATTCCTAGGCAAAAAAAAAAAAAAAAAAAAAAAGGATAAAAATTTTGAAAATAAATTTATCAAAAATTATGTAACTTATAAACTATCGTTCCAAATTTTGTAAATTTTATCTTTAGTAATCTCATTTTGCCTATAATTTATATTGATATATCTACTTGAATGTATTATAAAATTATAATTTTCCATTACAAAATAATGCTAAAGATTTTGCTAGTCAATTCTTTATAAACATTAGTCTGTATTTTCTCAAAATATTTCAAAAGGATCAAGACTCTTCTGCCAAACATTACAAAATGTAGCAGCATTTGGGGGGAGAAAAAGGAACAGCATTAACATGGATCAGAAGTCTTTTCCAAATCATAGGCTGGTATTTTAGACTTTTGCTGAAAAATTAGACCTTATTCATAGAGAACAGGCAGAAACAAGGCCAAAGAAAGACGAAACCCCAATGCAGATGAAACCTTACCAAAGAAATTATGTTCTTAAAGCCCATGCATTCCATGTAAAGCAAAAACAAAGAACAAGAAACGTTTTGTATAAGAAACAACATGAAAATAGACGGTTATATGTAAAGTTTTATGCATGATATGAAAACCATCTGGAATCACAATGCCATGATTTAATGCATAATGATGTGCAAAAGAACAGAAATGACAATGATTTCCTTCATTCATAAGGATGCTCAGATAGAACTAAAAATAAATGCTTTACCAATTCTGTTACATAATAAAATTGAGTATAATTAGATTGAAAACCTCAGATCAATAATATACGTTTGCTTCAAAGTGTTAATGTTAATGAGAACGTTCAGTTGTCACTTTACAGAACCGTGTTTAGTAATTTGGTGAGTCCTCTAAGTAGGCAGGTAGAGAGCACTCAATGCAAGATCCAATGCAGTTATCTTTAAGAAGAAGAAAACTAATTTATTACTCATAAGAAACAGAAGAAATAAAAGAACACAGTAGGGAATGTAACTCAAAGTCACAAAAACAAACAAATTAAAAAAGCAAAGAAAAATCCAAACTCAGTGCTCACTTACCCTAAGCTAACGTTAGAGAATTATATACAATGGGAAAAGCAATACTCATAACACAGCCAAAGAGGAAGAAAATATATCTAAAGAGCCGAAACCGGTTTGGCTCAGTGGATAGAACATTGGCCTGCGGACTGAAAGGTCCCGGGTTTGATTCCGGTCAGGGGCATGTACCTTGGTTCCGGGCATATCCCCAGTAGGGGGTGTGCAAGAGGCAGCTGATCGATGACTCTCTCATCGATGTTTCTAACTCTCTATCTCTCTCCCTTCCTCTCTGTAAAAATTCAATAAAATATATTTAAAAAAAGAAAATATATCTAAAAAAAACTATGTAAAAGAGTTAACATGTCCCTTTTTTTTTTTTAAGATAATACTTCAAATGACTTAAAGATAATTTAATATAAAACCAACTTCACAATGCTAAAAATTCAATGTTTATATATGGACTCATATTTTTGTCCATATTATAATTATCTCAAATATTCTCAAAGACCAGAATATTACCACCATGAAGAATTAAATATCAGAAATAGTGTTTAATTATCTATATATTTTCTAAAAACTGAAAATAAAGAAAACCTAAAAAAGTTTCTACATTCCAATCCAAAATGAATTTTGGCAAGATATGTGAAAATATTTAAACACTAATATTAACTTCTCAATAAATCTATAGAGTCAGGAGAAATAAAGTTTAGACTTATTTTAAGAAGTTTATATAATGACCTTGTTTGCTATAAACTCTCAAGCCTACAGGGAGATAAGCATAAAAGCTGAAATTATGTGTAGGGCACAAAAAATAGCTGAGCAGAAAAAAAATGATGAGAAAGCATTAAATGAGAACAGCTGCCAAGAACACCTTGCTTAAAAAGCAGTACATTAAAGTATTTAAAAACATACACACCAGAATATTCTCCTGGGTAAGCAGCCCAAGAGAAAAATGAAAGAGAACTTCAATTAGATTGTTTTCAGAAAGCAAGATCTCCACTTATTTACTTCAAAATGAGAAGAGACAATAAAATTGAAAAGATGTGTAGAAACCATTGACAAAACACAATAAAGTATAAATATTATAAATATGAAAAATCAAATTATGTATTATATGGGAATCAAGTCCTATAATGTAGGCCCTAAAGTTTACACATTCCTAATGAAGAATTCTCTTAAAATCTAGTGTATAAATTTAATATAACATCAAAAAAATTGTTCAAGATTTTTATTTTGAAATATATCAATAAACAGTAACTCATAACCAAAAGAAAAATGTAACTCGAAGTGGCTCCATTTCTATTCAAGACTTCAACCAAGCATAAACTTAGGTCTAGCATATTTGGAAACCTTACCTACTAAAACAAGCAAAAAACTCCCTGGTAGTTTTCAAAATCATAGACACCTCATTTGATTTTACCTTTGAGTCTCGGGTTGAGTCCATAAATGGGTTTCCAGTTTATCTATTAACCTCTTGAGAAAGTGCACACAATTTTATCCAGTTCTGTACAGGCATTTCCCCAAAAGTACACTGATTTCTTCAGGAAAGGAGTTTTAACTCCAAAAGATGTGAAACTAAACTGTTAGAACTGTTTAGGAATGCATTCACTTAGCTGCTGTGCAATGTAGGGAAGACAATGAGCAAAAGACACAGCTGTCTTGGCCACATTGAGCTTATTGTCTACTCAAGAAGAAAGGTATCAGGTACATAAAAATATTTACAGTAAAATATGAAGAGTGGCATAAAAATAAAATGCAGTGCTATGAAAATATATTTCAAATTAAATTAAGTATTTAGTTTAAAACATTAAACAACTATATATATATATATATATATATATATATATATAGTTGTTTCAGTGAGGACTAAGATTTAACATAGGATCAAGGTAGAATTCCTAAGGAGGATGTTCCATTTAAGCAGAGCCCAAATAGAGGCAGATAACAGTTGTGTGTTTTTTAAAGAAAGGAAACAAACAATTATTTGTGATTGGTTGTAAGATAGGGAGAGATCTAGAATGGAGACCTGAGTGGTGACTTGTATTCACTGAGTTCGTACAAGTTGGTATAAGAAGAGCCTTGGGGGACAGGACAATAAAGATGATGATGAACTGGGCTGTAGGCATATCAAGTGTAAAGCTCTACAAATCATCTCCGAGCTGTCTATGGGCAGTTTGAAAGTAACAGTCTAGGCTCTACAGAAAGATCTTAAATGGAGATGAAAACTTTGGAACAATCAGCCATGAAAGCCAAGAAACAACAGCAATGGACTTCCCAAACAAAGCAGCAGCCTGGGAGGCACACTGGCCGCGGAAAGATGGGCAGAGAAGAGGGGCCTGCAGAGAAGACTGAAGAGAGCGCAGGGCAGCCTGCTATTCCAGAAAGCCAGCAAAGACAGTTTTAAAGACAAATGCTGTGTGAGAAGTCATGTGAAATAATGGAGAAGGAACCATTGGACACAGCAAACAAGAGGCTGTCCAGGGCAAGGCAAGGCAAGGGTGGGGAGAAAACCATTCAGACTGCAGCCGACTGAGATGCAAGTGGGACTTCTGCTAAAAGCAGCCACACTTCTAAGAAGCCTTTTTTGTTCTCTGATGTAGCATGGCATCCAGAGCTGTCCCAAGCACATAGCAGACACTTCATTGATATCGCTGTATAAAAGTGTGACTTGAAGTGGGAGAAGAGTCAGTGGCAGTGGTGGTAGCAACTAAAGCTAGAGAGTCAGAGGAGGGCAGTGTTTTTATCTTTAATAGTCAAGAACTGAACATGTTTCAATAATAACATAAAGAAGTTAGTAAAGCCGAAGAAGTAGAAAATACAGAAAATCCCAAAAGAGGGATGTATGAACGTGTAATTTCCAAGTTCTAGAGTGTGGCTATGGGAAATACGTGACTACAGTGAATGGAGAAAGAGGTCAATAAAAATAAAGTCAGGGGATGAGATACCAATCAAGATAGAGGACAAAACGTGAGGGATGGTTATCTCTTTTAAATTATTAAAATCAGAAAAAAAGTAAAGCACATATATGATTACAAAGAACTTTATAGCTTCAAACTAGAGAGTTTTATAATAATACGGTAACTAGACAAATGAATAATGAGATATAAATGGGCCATGTACTCACTTAACCCTGGGCCCATTAACGAACCTTGGGAAACCATTTTGTTAGTTTAACTTTATTCCATTTAGCGAGTACTAGGCCTCAGTAGCTAGCTGTCACTGAACTGCACAGAAGAGAAGCCATGAACAAATATGTGCCTTGGAAATTTTATTTATCATTATTGATCAAAAAGTGTTCATGTAGGCACAAGTTGCTACATTTATGATAATATTTTTATTTTATTTTATTTTATTAATATATTTTATTGAGTTTTTACAGAGAGGAAGAGAGGGATAGAGAATTAGAAACATCGATGAAAGAGAAACATAAATCAGCTGCCTCTTGCACACCCCCTACTGGGGATGTGCCCGCAACCAAGGTACATGCCTTGACTGGAATAGAACCTGGGACCTTTCAATCCGCAGGCCAATGCTCTATCCAATGAGCCAAACCGGTTTCCGCTTATGATAATATTTTTAAATCTCCTAATCTGAAGCTTTTTAGAAATATACCAATATCTGCAAAAGAGAGAAGATAGTTTATGAACTATTTCTCCGTTTCGAAGTGGAAAGGAAGCCACAGTGTCAGGATTTTGCTTTTAATCTATTTATTATGTTTTAATTATCTGACTTAAAGATGAAAGCTTTCAGCCGAGACCGGTTTGGCTCAATGGATAGAGCGTTGGCTTGGGGACTAAGGGGACCAGGGTTCGATTCCAGTCAAGGGTATGTACCTTGGTTGCGGGCATATCCCCAGTAGGGGGTGTGCAAGAGGCAACTGATCGATGACTCTCATCAATGTTTCTGGCTCTCTATCTCTCTCCCTTCCTCTCTGTACAAAATCAATAAAATATATTAAAAAAAAAAAAAAAAAAAAAAAAAAAAGATGAAAGCTTTCAGAAAATATTTGATTTAAACGACCACAATTGTTTCTAAGTATTACGCAGCTTCTTAACTCGTAAAACAATTAAAATAAAAAAAGTTCTCATTCTAGTTAAATTCAATGGGGCAGCAGAAGGACATTTTTGGGGTGATTTTTATGATTCTGGTAGTCATTACATAAATCTATGCATTTGTCAAAACTAAAAATATTCACCAAAAAGAATGAAATTTACTCTATATAAACTTGAATATAAATTTAAACATTCCAAAATTCTTCTTTCTAGCATTTTTTACACCTTGAATTTTGCCAAGGAGTCAGTTTCTTAAACCAATCAGTTCTTAAAGAACTTTTCATGCATAATTTAATGTTAACTAAAATTAAACCATAAATTTAAATGTAAAAATGGAGTATTCTTTATGAATTAATCCTTTAGTCCTCCCTTGAGAAATGCAAACTCGGTCAATTACTCCCATTATTTTCCTTGGATTTTAACAGTGGGAGTCTATGTCTAACACAGAACACTTTTATTTATATACTTTCAATCTCTCTTACTAGATAGACTGAGAGCTCTGTTTATACAGAACTTATGTTTCCTTCAGAAAATACTTCAAACTCTCAAGGATATAACTAGTAATCAATAATTTAACACAGAGGCATAGATTTTTAATACTATGAGGTTTTCAATTTGTCAGGTTTGAAGATATACACCAAAACTACTTCACATGGGTTATAATCATGTAATTATTACTGGAAGGGACTTTAAAGATCACCTAGAGCAGAGTCGGCAAACTTTTCTGTACAGGGCCAGATGGTGAATATTTTAGGCGTTTAAGCCATATGATCTTGGTTGCAGACTACTTAGGTCCCCTATTGTAATGCAAAGGCAACTATAGACAACGAATAAACAAATGAGTGTGAAGGTGTTCCAAGAAAACTTTCTTCATACACATAGGTGAGCTGGATTTGGCCAACCCCTGAAACGGAGTCCAACCTCCTCCTTTAATACCCAAAGAAACTAAGCCCCAGAGTGGCTGATCTATTTGGCAAAGGTCACCAATAAATAGTGAAAGAGCCAAAATGCATTATATTCTTTTTCAAATCAGGTGTTCTTCAATGACAAATTCTAAAATGATTACATTTCCCATAGAGCTGAAACAGAAATCTCAGAAAAATCAAGTGTTAAAATTGCTTACTATAAAAAATATATTTTAAAAACAATATGCTACTTCTTCAGATAAGCCATCATACCTAGTAAATCTGCTCCTTCGTCCACATCTCCGATTAGGCCTGAGCCAGCTGAAGACAGTTCTTCAAAGAGCGATTCCGTGTTGCGATCAAAAGCTTTGTTCTCTATGCCTTTGGTGGGAGTGCTATGCAATAAAAACAACAAAACCAAATCAACAAATACCATAAGGACTTTAATAGTCTAAATGAATACAATAGGCTAAGTTACATAGGATTTTTTTTTTAACCTATAATTTACAAATAATACAAAATGTGATTTTTTTAAAACATTTCTTGCCTGGCTGGTATGGCCCAGTGGTTGAGCATCGACCCATGTACCAAGAGATTGTTAGATTGTTACCTGGTCATGGCACATGCCCAGGTTTCAGGCTGCATCCCCAGTATGGGGTGTGAAGGAAGCAGCTGATTGGTGATTCTCATCATTAATGTTTTTCTCTCTCCCTTACTCTCTGAATTCAATTAAAAAAAAATATTTTAAAAGCAAACAGTAAAACATTATGTATAATGTAACTCTTTTTTGCAGGAGTGGATGGAAGAGGGGATATGCATGTATGTTTATACATTGATGTTATAGTAATAGGAAAACAAAGTTTTGCAGAATTTTCAATTAAACATGATGAACTGAAAATAGTCATTTATCCCCTGAATATAGTTATTTAATTCAAAAATCAATTAAAATGACAAGAAAGGAACTAAAAGACCCACACAAGGACATAAGGAATAAAAAAAGAAATTAGGGCAGATGAAATGTGAACAAAATTCTGTAAGATGGAAAATAGACTGGCAAAGAGTAGAAAATGACTTAACTGATAAGAGAAAGCTAACACCTAAGCCATGGGGTTAGGGAGGGAGTCAGTATGCTGCCAGAATCCCTGAAAGGGCCAGGAATGGAAGGAACCAGCAATCTTTGGAGAAGAGCATCCATGGGGAACATATAACAGAAATTGGGCTGAAAAATGCCACAAAAACAGCATGAGACCTAGGCCAATTCTCAGACTTCCCTTCTTGCAACATAGCTCCCTGAATAATGGAAACCAAGTTTAAATGTTACAGGCAGGACTCCGGAGAATAAGTCATTTACTTCAGTCTGAGCAAAACAGCCACAAAGCAGACATTTCAAGGCCTCTCTACATGAAAGAACCAAAATAAATGGGTTATGACAGAGGCACTCAGAGCAAAAGAAGACAATGCAGGCAGCAGCAGGCACTTGAAAACAAAAAAAATTGTTTTTCTAGGATAAATATATTTTTAAAATACTTATTGTTGAAAGTATTACAGATGTCCTCTCTCTTCTTTTCCCTCTTCTCCCCCTAATTTAGCCCTGTTAGCCAGCACCTGCACCGAGCCCAAAATAAATATTGAAAACAAAAAACCTTTAGGGGGAAAAATATCAATGAAGGTTAAAAGGTAAGGTTGGAATAAATCATCCAGAAATTAGAACATTAATAGGAGAGAACAGAAAAATGAGGGTCAGTCCAAGATGTTCAGTGTCCACTAACAGGTGTTCCAGAAAGAAAGAGGAAGAGGAAACAGTAAGAAGAAATAGAAAATTTCTCAGAACCAGGAAATATGATTTTTTAAAATATACATATCTTATTGATTTTTTTTACAGAGAGGGAGTGATAGAGAATTAGAAACATTAATGAGAGCATTAATGTAAATCTGACATTTACAGCACCTTGAGCCTTTATATCCACTGAGATCTTTGTCCATATCCAACTCAGGAGTGGATTCGATGATCGCTTGAACTTCTGACTTCTCTTCATTTTCCGCAGAGCCTTACGGAAGGACAAAATGACTTAATGAATACTATATCCCTTATATAAAAATCTTGTCGTTTCTATAGTTGTACATATATAATTTGATTATTAAAAAAAACTTTTAAAGAATGTATTCTAGGAAACATAGGGTTAGACAACATGTCATATACTCAAGAGTTAATATCAGAAACTAATAAATAATAGAAGGAAGTTTTCATCTGTATTTCTTGGGACACAGTGCAATGTCTCCCAGGCCAGAACTCAGACTACCGATCTGAGGCAGGGAGAGGAAAAGAGGATCCTCTGACCCTTCAGGCTCTTCAACCCTCCAGTTCCCAATATTTTTCTCTTCGGAACTTTAATCATCACTCTTAAAGTGTACGTATTATTGATTACTATGCATTATCTATCTATTTCAGCGGTTGCCTCGTGGACCACTGGTTGATGACCGCTATTCTATTTTATAAATGCAAAGCATCAACACAATGATGAATTTTCTCATACCCACATCATCTTGGTTATTGAAAATGTTGCCAGTAAGTAATGAACTAGGATGGCTCAGTTGATTAGAGCATCGTGTCATACACCAAAAGGTCAGGGCACACATCCAGGTTGCGGATTTGATCCCTGGTCTAGGCGTGTGTGAGAAGAAACCAATTGATGTTTCTCATATCAATGTTTCTTCTCTTTCTCTTTCCTCTACTTCTCCCCTCTTAAAGAAAGGGGGGGAAAAAAAAGAACAACAACTAGGGTCACATACCTGTTGATACATTTCTAGTTTCTTGGGCTACTTGAATTTCAATATGCTTGCTTATGTCTGCCTTATCTGGTGCGTCTTTCACAAGTCCTTCAGCGTCTTCCTTTAAGGGTGTGTCTGTAGGAAGTACCCCTACATCTGAAGCAGCTGTTGATGCTGGAGTGGTAGCTTTAGATCCTCCTTGGCTAACATCAGAAAGTTCATCCTACAAACAAAAATAATTACCAAAAAATTTTAAATAAGTAGTTTAAACCATTGTTTAAGTAGGTTAAGAAATAAACTTCCTGGGAGAAATTTATTCTAATCATCTTTTTTAACGTACTAAGTATTCCAGTTTAGCATATATGGAAACGTTTACTGCACCTACCTTTCTCCCCCACATTGTTGCTAAAACTCCTAAATAAACACAAATAATCAAAGGTAACCAAGATTTGTGCCTAGTCTTTATTTCTATCTGCACACTTGCCTACTAGGAGACAAAAGTATTATATTTCTCTAAAACACAAAGCAAGTGTTAGATATTCTTGGTCTGGAAATTCATAAAAACTTAAAAAAAAATTTTTTTATTGATTTCAGAGAGGAAGGGAGAGAGATTGAAACATCAATGATGAGAATCACTGATTGGTTGCCTTCTACATGCCCCATACAGTGGACTTTGGACTGGGCCCATGACCAGACATGTGCCCTGACTGGGAATCGGACCCGAGACCCTCTGGTTCTTAGGTCAAAACTCAGCCACTCAAAACTCAGCCACTGAGCCGAAACCGGTTTGGCTCAGTGGATAGAGCATCGGTCTGTGGACTGAAAAGTCCCAGGTTCAATTCCGGTCAAGGGCATGTATCTTGGTTGTGGGCACATCCCCAGTAGGGGGGGTGTGCAGGAGGCACCTGGTCGATGTTTCTAGCTTCCTCTCTATAAAAAGTCAATAAGATATATTTTTTTAAATAAAATAAAATCCTTGTCTACTTGTGGGAAAACAAAAATAAAACTTAAAAAAAAAAAAAAAACTCAGCCACTGAGCCACATTGGCTGGGCTCATCAAAGTCTTTTTGATAATTCTATCAAAAAGCCATAGATTAAGACATGATTCACTTTACAGAGAGCAGATTGCCTCTCCCTTAATGTTTGTTCATGTGATCTTTGATTTTAGATTCTCATCATCCTTAACCCTCTCAATTATTCATATAATCAAAAGCTAGATTGGCTCTCTCTATATAAAAATGAAAATATTATGAACATTCAGTTTTAAATGAAAAAAATGAAATGTAAGCTGCAGAAAAATACATAGAACATAAACTCATCATCTTCCAAAGACATTGTTAATATCATTTTTGTGGCGGATACAACAATGACTAGGGAGAAAGGGTAAATTTAGGGTTGAAGAAACTTACCATTTTACTTTAGATCCTTCAGTATTATTTAAAATTGTGAAACTGTTAATATAATTTTAAAAATCATTAAGCCTGTTTTTATAAACTATCTGAACTCTGGTTACCTTAGCAACATGTCTCGTATTTGGCATTGTGCCTGACTCAGTGGGTATTAACAAATATTTTTAAATGCAAAAAGCAAGGTAATTTTTCTTCAACAGGAAATATATAAAGCTATTTTCCCTATTCTAAAAGCTTGTTTAAACATTAAATGTCAATAAGTATGTAATAAAATTATGTGCCTATTACTTCAAAAGAAGCCACATTCAATATAGACGCTTTAAATACCATCATATTTGAATATTGTTTAGTTTTACCAATTTTCATTCTCAATAAGCAATAGCATCTTTTTTTTTTATTGATTTTTTACAGAGAGGAAGGGAGAGAGATAGAGAGCTAGAAATGTCGATGCCACCTCTTGCACACCCCCTACCAGGGATGTGCCCACCACCAACGTACATGCCCTTGATCAGAATCGAACCTGGGACCTTTCAGTCCGCAGACCAACGCTCTACCACTGAGCCAAACCGGTTTCGGCAAGCAATAGCATCTTTATCAACATATACAACCCAATAAATTCTTGCAAAAAGGAAATACTCACTTATAAACACCCACTAAGAAAGAACTAATTCTATTTCCCTTCTCTAAGCATGAGCTTAAAGGGAGAAAAAAGTATATATCTTACAGTTTTATTTGTCAATTATACTTAAATAAAACTGAATGAATGAGTGAGTGGGTGAGTGAGTGAGTGAATGAATAGGGGAAAAGTACAAAAAGATTAAAAGGAGTAAATCTTCACCTTTTTTTTCCTTTCAAAACGTAACAGTCATCTGTGTTTGGTTTCTAAAGTTACCAAATAAAGATATATATATATATATATATAGAAGTTAATATATAAGAATTGGTGTTATAGAAGAAATTTCTATAACAAGCAAAAGCAACATGAAATATTACAGCATATAATCCATTTTTTCTTAAAATTGTATTTCTATTTTACCCTACCTTAAACACTAATGCAAAACTCCAAAAGGAGGTAATGTGTAATATATAAACAAATGAAAAACCAAACTTAGGCATTTAAAAAAAAGTGCCTATAAGTAACCACTTTCCAACCAACAAGCACACTTAGTGCCTAGATCTTGATTCCTAAATACCATTCTCCAATAGAAGGAACAAGGGCTCCTTGGAGAAGTAGTTCTTGTGGGGCTGGGACAGAGAAAATATAAGAGCTTAGAGCATCTTATGGTGGAGGTGCGAGGAAGGGGGGACTAATTGAAAAAAAAAAGGGGAGGGGCATGTCAAAAAGGTACAGGAGTCAATCTGAAAGAGCTCCTGATGCCCAAAGTTGGAACAATTTAAGCAACAAAATAAATGACAGTATTAGCTAACTTACATAATAAAATAAATGCCCATGAGTACAAACAAGAAGGAACAAACGAACAAAACAAGGAAGGGAGTGAGGGAGGGGGTAGGGAAGGAGCACAGTTCTCCCTTACAGAAGAATTTTGGTTAAAAAGGGTAGAAGATGGAGAAAATAGAAAAATTGTTGTTGGAACACCACAGTAATAATTGTAGATAAGAGCCACTAATGGATACTAAAATCAGTGGATGCAAAGTTTGACAGACAGGATATTTGCACAGTCCTCAAGTATATCCACCATGAATATTAATTATAAAAGGAAAAATAGTAACTTTACAATGGAGAAATACAACACACCCCAGATGAAATAAGTGATCAAGGATAACATCACCTCTAAGGCACATTGCCTTTGCAGTATTCTTGCCAAAAATCTATAACTTTGATCTAGTCATGAAAAGAAAAAGAAAAAGAAAGAAAGAAAATTGAGAGACATTCTGCAATATAATTAACCAGTGCCCTGCAAGCCTTAAGGGCATGAAAGACTTTGGAAATGTCACACAGTGGAAGAGACTGAGGAAACATTAATTCAATGTGGAATACTGCAATAAGAAAAGGAAAACCGTGGGAAAACAAACGAACTCCAAATGAAGTGTGTACTTTAGCTAATGGTATTGTACCAATGTTAATTTCTTAGTGTTGATAACTGTACCATACTGGTGGTCAGTAAATACTGGTGGGTGCTGGGTGGTGGACAGATGAGAACTCCAGACTATTTCTGCCATTTTCCTCTAAGTCTAAAATATTTCAAAACAAAACCTGGAAGCTTTAACTGTTTGACAATTTAAAATTACTGATGCATTTTATAAGAGGAATAAGGTTCAATTGCTATAGAGATTCAAGTTTGGGAAGACTAAAGAAACAGGAACAATTTAAGAACTTAACCACAAGTGGAGGAGGATGGAAATTCTTCCCAACAAGAATGCTGGCTCTGCTCAGACATTCCCGTTCTGCATGCCAAGCACATCCCCTGAAGAAGGCAGCACCCACTGACGACTGGCTTTCCATACCAAACCCTATGAACCGGGCTTCTCACAACAATCCCACTAAAGAACTTCACGCCATCTGGTTTAAAAGAATTCTTTAAAATTTTCACAAGTAGGTACAAAATACAATTATTTTTTAATTAAAATTGCTTTTCTCAGTTCTAAAAGTCACATTCTAGTCTGGCCAGTGTGACTCACTCAGTGTTTGAACCCCCTTCAGCAATTCATGTAATTCTGGTTTGGTGTTGATGAACTCCTTTAGCTTTTTTTTTTTTTATTAGTGAAGCTCTTTATCTGACCTTCGATTCTGAGTGATATAGCTTTGCTGGATAGATTATCTTTGGCTGTAGGTTCTTACTATTCATCACCTTGAATATTTCTTGCCATTCCCGTCTGGCCTGCATGGTTTCTGTTGAGAAATCAGCTGACAATCGTATAGGTGCTCCTTTATAGGTAACTACCTGCTTTGCTCTTGCTGCTTTTAATATTCTCTCTTTGTCTTTTGCTCTTGGAATTTTAATTATGATTTGTCTTGATGTGGTCCTCTTTGGATTCCTTTTGTTTGGAGTTCTGTGTGTTTCCTGGACTTGTAAGTCTAATTCTTTCACCAGGTGGGGGAAGTTTTCTGTCACTATTTCTTTCAGTATGTTTTCGATATCTTGCTCTCTCTCATCTTCTGGGACCCCCATAATTCTGACGTTGGTTCGCTTGAAGTTGTCCCAGTGGTTTCTTACATTATCTTCAATTTTCTGGATTCTCTTGCCTTCTAGCTTCTGCGGAGGAGTGTCTTCTGGCTCTTTATGTTCCAAATCTTTGACTTGATTCTTGTGATCTTCCATTCTATTTTTAGGACTCTGTATAATATTTTTTATTTCAGACAATGTATTCTTATTTCTTGTTGATCCCTTATCATTTCTTGTTGATTCCTTATTAATTCTAGTTGATCCCTTTTCATATCCTCAGAGGTCTTAACGATCTTTTCTACAAAATTCTTGAAAAACCTTATAAGTGTAGATTTGAACTCTATATCCAGTCACTTTTGTCCTCCATTTCTTTCATTTGTGATCTATTTCGTCTAGGTATTTTCGCAGCTTCCCTGATGGGGCGGGGTTTCAGGGTGGAGCCTACAGCCCTGCCCTATGTGGCTCCTTAGTCTCAGGGTCCTTCAGTACTCATTGCAAGCGCCTCTGAGAGAAAGGTGCCCTCAATTTTCACCTGCTAGGCTCTCCCCATATGGATTCTGGCAACAGAGAAGAACTGACAGGACTACTCCAATCATGAAGACAGAGAGAAGCAGTCCAGAGATGGAAGACCCTGATGACGCCTTGCCATACTAGCAGTCAGCAGCTGTGTATCACTGCAGGTTGCCCAGGACCAAACCAGAGAGGGTCGGACCTGCATTACCACCAACTGTCCATCATCCAGAACTGAAATATCATTGCTGACATATACACATAAGGAACTATTTGACATTGAAATTGGGTCTCAAAAGAACTGTTGGCCCAGAAAGAAACTCATTACAGACTGATTCATATGCCTTTTAGCATAACCATTATTGCTTGTCTCATTTTTTATTCTTATAAGTATATTTCCAGTAGGACATAATCTCACTCATGTAGGGGAAATAGTGAACAATAAAGATTGATGAACAAGAGTAGACCCAGAGATCAGGAGCCATGGGTCAGACTGTTGGACTTCAAAGGGAGGGTGGGGATAAAAGGGAGAGATCAACCAAAGGACTTGTGTGCACACATATGAGCCTAACCAATGGTCAAGAACAATAGGGGGGTGGAGGCATGAGTGAGGAGGGGTGGGGGATTGAAATGGGGAGTTGAGGACAAATATGTGATACCTTAATAAAAAATAAAAATAAAAAGTTTTTTAAAAAAGTTTTTTAAAAAAATAACCTATAATAAATTAACACCAGCTTTTTAAGTGAAACACAATGTACTTTCGGATATTTCTTTATGAAGGGTTTTGAGGAAGGAGCTGGTTTTAAAAAGTGAAACCGCAAGGATTTCAGGTGGCAATGATTTTCAATACTAAAAAAACAAAATAAAGTTCACTAGTCACCCCACCCTAAATCCATATAATGTAGCCTAAATCAAATAGAAATGTTGGTCATTAGTATCATTAACAACTTGAAAAAGAATAGTAAAAACTAAAACTCTTTGGGGGAAGAGTTCATTTCCAAAAAAAAAAACACATTAGTTTTACAACTAAAATGTATAAACTATTTCATTTTTTTATGTTTTGCTTGTCTAGTACTTCAATTCTTACTCATAAAATATAAACTGAAGTTCTCATCAGAACAAAGCTTACCTTCAGGCTGGTATGAGAACGTGGCTGACTTAATTCCTGGAATTTCCATTGCTCCGATCCAGGGGTCTCTCCACCTTTCTGGGTGTCAGGTGTAAGCAACCCGTCTCCCGCAGGTAGAGGGAAAAGCCCTAGTGATATAGGGCGTTCTTTTCTATATGGAGAGGGGAGAAAAAAATTAAGCATTCATTCATTTTTTAAAATTCCTTATTCATCATGACTGTAAGTATTATTTCTGAGCAATTATTTCTTTAGAATCATTACTTTTAAATAATAGTCTGCCTACCTGAACAAGCAGACTTACCGAGAAATAATATAGATCTACAGAAGTTTAAATTAGCCTGAAGAAATCAATTAAGAAAAGCAGTAAGAAATGGTTCAGGAAATTTTATAAACTGATGAGTTCCTGGCCCAGAAAGCAGTCGGGGGTCTGCTTTCACAGAGAGAGCAACTATGCTTAGGTTCGCCCTAGAGAAACTTGTAACCTCCTCCTTTGGAAAATGTTCCCAACCTCTGCATCTAGACTTCCCAAGTCCTCACACTAACCCCAAGATGTTTACCCAACTTTCTTCAGGGTATTCCTTTCCTGCCCAAAGGAAAATCAACATAGGATCTAAAGGAGGGCTACTGATTAAACAGTAAGAAGAGCTCAAGAGTTTTATCCCATAAAGCGAGAACAGAACGAATGTATGAGTTTCTTTCAATCACAGTACATATGAAAAAAACCATTGTCAGTTTTTCCAAACAAGGAGGCCAAAAAATTCTATGAAAGACTGTAGAGTTTCCATTGCTTTGTGGGAAATTTCAATGAACAAGGGTTACAATTTCAATAATAATAGAATTGCAACAAGAAACCTGTCCTTTGCTGATGCATAGAAGATTTGAAATCAAAGGGATTTGGAAACAACCCTACCACAAGGCTATCCTAGGTCACTAACTCAAAAGTGTGGAAACTGGCAAGAAATGAGACACTAAAAGTTTGGAGCTCTACCTCTGCTACTAAGACTGAATATAACTTAGAATAAAAACATCGAGGTTATAAATAAAAGTGGCAAAATATTTGGTTTTGCTAAATAAGTATTTTATTCTGTAAATTCATTTTTATACAACTTAAGTCACTTTTGAAATGTGCCCTCACTTAACACAAAGGGTTTTGTTAATGACAATCAGAAAAAGATTTATAAAACTGTCAGGAAACTTTAAGAAAGTTTAAAATTTTTTAAGAAAGATTAAGTGAAGCAAAGGGGTCCAGAGACTACATTTTTAAAATATATGTATTTTATTGATTTTTTTTATAGAGAGGAAGGGACAGAAATAGAGATCATTGATCAGCTGCCTCCTGCACACCCTCTTACGGGGGATGTGCCTGAAATCAAGGTACATGCCCTTGACAGGAATCGAACCTGGGACCCTTCAGTTCGCAGGCTGATGCTCTGCCACTGAACCAAACCGGTTAGGGTCAGATACTGCATTTTATTAAGGTTGTATGCACAAGAAAATAAATTAGAACTTTATCAGTTAGAGTTAATTATTCATCACTTCTTCACACAAGGGCTACTTTTCCTATTTAATTTGGGAGGAAAATTCAAATGCAGGTAGTACACAATGAAGTACTAGATAATAATTAATGCCAAACCCAAGTTTGTGACAATGAGCCACCAAATTAACCAAATGACAAAAATTAAAGTAACTCGTCTACTATTCTGTTTATACCAGTTATTCCCAAATGCTGGTTCAGCAATAAAGTTTTCATAATTTCACTGCAAAAATAGGCATTATTTATATCCTTAATGGATAACATAGTACATCCTTTACACATATCCATTTCCATATATCATAGAATTGGTTCTTTCTTGAGAATGACCTTTTAATTCATCTCTGCTTCTTTGATTTTTAAAATGCTCTTTCATCAAATGATAATGACAGTAATTGGAAAGTGTTTTTTTTTAATGTCCGCATTTGGCAAAACAAAAAGTTGTTGGCATGATGTTTATCCCTCAACATCAAGTTGAGGGATAATTTAAAGTTCTAACAGCTACTAGATGATTTCTTCTTCTTCTTTTTTTTTTTTTTTTTAAACATATCTTAATGACATAAACAAAAACCTGACCGGGAATTTAATAGGTGGAATTTAATAGAAAGCTCTCTAACCCAAAATGCAAAGACAACCAGGAAGATATTACAGACATCTTATAAACCCATCAAACTGCTAAAAGAAATCAAAATACAGGCCAGTCATCAGAATTATCTTCCATATGAATGACAGCATACTCATTTTCACACACATCAAATACAACTGAAAAGGTGTAAAACTACTGTGCATACAAATGTTACTTTTCTACTCCTGTTAATTATAACTATTCACACCTCTTTATCTTGATTTTATTAATCATTTAAATACTCTTCTATAGGGAGGGAACTTCCTTCAGAGATCGGTAGCTATCTGTCACTATCTGTCAACAGGGTCAATGATGCTCTGGGTTACATTGTGCCAACTCTTGAAAAATAATCTTACTACATATATCTTCCCTCCTCCTTTTACTGATACTTTACGTCAGAGTTAGGGGGACGGAGAAGGCATGTAATTAATTTTGCAAGCCAGTTAGAATCCTACTTTAGAGAAGAATCCCCAAAAGGTGAACATTAGTTCTGTACTACGTTGATATGCATGTTTAGTACTCTATGTATTAAATGCTTCAGTAAAATTCACAGAAGAAACTATAGAATGGAACACAGGTGGGAAAGTATCAAAGAGGCAGATTTAAACCTAAGATGTCTCAATGCCATTACTGTCTAAAAACAAAGTTATCATCAACTATCATAAATCCTTGTTACATTCTTTTTAAATTGACTTAGATCAATATATCCATTTTTAGTTGTTTATTGAAGTGTTACCTTACATGCATAAATCACAAATATCCATTTACATTAATATTCAAAAGAAATAATCATTAATAAAATCTACTATATATAAAGGGCAGTAAAAAAAAAGATTACATTGTTCAGTACCATGTGGCAAGCATTGAAATGGATGATTTATTTACGTTATTGATTAATCCTCACAAAGAAATAGGGATTATATTCCCAGTTTCCAGATCAGGGAAAGTGATGTTCAGAACCTTTAGACACTAGTCATTGGCAGAGATAGGATTCAGGTTAGACCTGTTTGACTCCAAGGCCCATGTAATTTTCTTAAATTACCTGCTTCTTGACCATTTAGTCTTCATATTGAAGACTGATATTTTTGTTCAGATTAAGAGCAGCTTTTGTGTCTAGGAACTTTTCAATTTAATCATGCTATTTGATCAACAAGATGGCTGCAGCTAAAAAAGTTCTGCTAGTAAGGGGGAACATATAAGTATAAATATTATTTACATGTTTATTATATCTTGCAACTTATGAAGTATAAAATAATTATTTCACCTGATTTTTAAAACCACCCTAATGGGGTAAAAACCTCCAAGGAGGAGACTCTGGAATAAAGAAATTAAGCAATTTGCCAAAGGTCTACCAGCTAACAACACGTGACAGAACATGTGTATCCAACTCCAAAGCCTCTTACCCTCCGTACAGCTCAGTACTGACTGCTCAGACAGAATGGAAACCAGAGAAAGCCTTTAAAATCAATCTCATTTTAATATTCTAATATTCTTGAGTTGAGGTATATTTAAGTTCCTAAAAGCCTATATTTACATACACACACCCCCCAAATCTTTTATATACTAAAATATACACAAGTAATGAGATTGCTTCTGATTTTTATAAAATCAGGAAAGGAAATAAATATCCAACCATAAAATTCAATTTTTGGATCTTAAATTAATGTTGAATATGAATTGACCTGTGAATTAAAAAAAAAAAACATAGAAGGAATTTACTACTTTAATTCTTCTTAACTTATTTAAATCTACAATTAGGAGTTAAGTGTTTAAACATTTAAATAACAAAAGCTATGCACTATGAACCTTCATTTAAAACCATAGGCAAAGTAGAAAGCTGAATAAGTCAGATAGTTTTAGTTTGATGAGTTAGAAACAAAAGAAATCAAAACCTTACACCTCTAAAAGGTAGATGGTTCTTATAGGTGCAAGTAAAGTGAACAGCAGGAAAGAGAGATTAATGGCCACCCCCACAAGCAGGCATGAATATTTGTCACCCAAGTCTACAAAGAAAGGGCAACATCTGACTAAACAATAGTGAATAGGCTTTGTAAAGCTTTCACAACTTTGATGTGTAGATAATGGAGGAAAATGCATTTCTTGCCCTAGAAGCTTTATGTCCTTTCATTTTAAAATACAATTTAGAAGGAAAATTAAATTGTCAGTTCTCACTAGCTGCTATCAAAATTTACAAAAATAATGACTGAACCTCTGTCAGTTAAAGGAAAATTGAAACAAAATAAACAACTATGGCCTGTTTCTAACACACTGCAAGTCCCAGCATGAAAGCTATTTGTCCCTAAATGCTCAGGTGCTAACCCAGAGGTTGTATGAACTTGGACCAGAACTTGACTTCTTATCTCCCCTGGCTTTTTCAACACTGCTTAAAGCAAAACCACATTGACCTTGCACTTGCAGGTTAAGTACAATATGAAAACCCTTTTCCTCTAAGTCCAACGTTTCCAAACACAAAGCAGCAACCCTCAGAGATGGCCTCCCAATGAACACAAATAAAAATAGAAATCCTCGCTTCAGGCCATTTTCCATTGTTTCAATCTGCAGCAGAAATGGTTACAAAGCAGACACAAGAAGCAAAAGAATTGAGAAAAACCAACCCAACAGGGGCTGCTGAGGAGACTGGAGTACCTGAGTATCCTTGGTAGGTTCTGCGTCAGAGCTGGCACGCCGGTAGAAATAGAAAAGTGCACAAGCAGCAAAACAGAGAGCGATACTAAGATAGCAGAATTAATGACCACCGCCCCGCCAACAAAGCCAAACACAAACAGCAGCATGCATCCAGGACTCATGGCGCTGCGCTGGCATGGTGAAACGCCCGAACCAGGAGGCCTACACGGGGGCCAGAGGAGTATCTTTGTAGTGAGGATCTGTCATTCAGCTGCTGCCTCGAAAACAATGCCATCAGCAGCAGCTTTCCACTCCATCCTGCAGCAGCTCCGGAGCGATGACGTCACCGGCCTCCCCACCTCAAACCCGGAGAGCGGCTGCTCCCGGCGTTTCCGCAGCTCCTGGGCGACAGGCCGCCTATTAACTACGTTCCTCTCCGCCGAGTCCTGGCTCAGCTCATTGGCCACAATGCTTGGCGATCTACATAATTTATTCACACTCCTACATCAAACAGAAGTCTCACTAGCTAACCCTTTCAAACGTGCCTCTCTAACAAAAAGGACCTTAATCCAGGAGGATTGGAAATTTTTCAGCATCCCCACAAATCAGAAAAATTTAAACCTTCCCTAATATACATTATTAGAAAGCAATCAAAATATCTCGTCATGCTGCTTATATGGAATGGCTCACAATTTATCTCTGAAATCATGAAAGCTGTTTCTGTTTTTCGATGCTATTCTTTCCTATAGCATTCCAACCAAGGTAGAGAGCTTTTGAAACAGCCTAACTATTGTTCCAGGATTAAAGAACAGAGAGAAACAGTCACAGACAGGTTATTTCGCTTTTTTCTCAAGGCAAAAACGTATAACACAGCTTACCTAATTCTACTATGAACTGCAGATTCTAGTTGTTCACTCCCTGAGAGCTGATGAAGTTTTGTCCTCTCTAAGTGTTCCATATAATTATGGATCATCTGTTTTGAAGAAAAAAAAATACACAAAAATTTAAAATACCTGGAATAAAACAAAAAGAACACTTTTTTATACATTCCTTATTTATCAGATATCCATAATTCCCTATAAAAGAATATTAGGATGAAAAATTGGGGGGAGGGGCTCATGAAGGAGGTGGAAGAGGGAGACGGGAATAAATGGGAAGGAAAGAGGCTTCACTTTGGGCGATGGGTGCACGATGCAGTATGCAGATGTTTAACTTGTGCACTTGAAGCCTGTAGGGTGCGGTTAACCAATGTCACTTCTATAAAAATTTTTGAATGGCAAAGGAATATGCAAATTTAAGGATACTGGCATAAAAGTAGCCAACATATTGCTTAGCAAAAAGCTATTTTTTAAACTGTGGTGTTATTAAATGATATAATTCTTACATAAATAGCAGAAATTAGGATATAGATACTGGGGAGAAGATGATATAAGAGGTAAAATAAATAATAGAGGGCATCTGAGAAGTCCATTCACCAAAATGGGAAACAACAAAGAAATTAACATAACACTTGAAAAGAAATTGACAAGGAGAAAATGTTAGATGTCCTCAGAAGAGCTTTTTGCTGTGAAAGTTTTTTAACAAAATCATACCCTTATGTGGTGATTCTCCTTTACACAGGATTCAGAGTATGGATCACTCCATTTAATTAGGTAATTAAATTAAATGTCAATGTTTTTATTTCTTATTTCTACATATTTAGTTGAAAGAATGCTAGTATATTTTCTCCTTTGATTGGTAATTTATTGGTATAATTATCTATAACAGCAGCACATTAAAACAAATTTAAAAAATCAGAGCACTGTGATTTTGTGTCTTGGATACATAGGCTGAATATAGAAGTGAAAGCTTCAAGAATATCAAGTATATAAGCTAACAAGAAATGCTATAGTCCTATTTAATTCTTGATAATCTATAGTTCCATCTTTAAAAAATCTAAATCTGGCATTAGAATATGTAAAATGCAACAATTTCAATAAAGAAATCAAAAAGGCTATTGTAGATACTATCATGACATAAATAAGAAAAATTATTTTTAAAAATAACAAAAGGTATGTCATCAATTTAAAGAAATGTAAATATTAAGAGTAGGGCATTAAAAAAATTGATATCTTTCTTGGGGAATATTCCCTGAATTCTTAAAACTGTAGCATAAAATATCTTTGGAAATTTCTAAACTTTAGTGGTATGAAAATGGTTTTCAACCTTAGTAATTTAAATATTCATTGTAATGTATTATAAAGAAAACTATTGGAAAAAAAAGTTTTAACAAAATTTGTTTTTTAATTTTAAAACCGGCTTTTTGTTGTAAAAATTTTACTTTGTGTTCAGGTACCTTCATTATATATAAATCAGTTTGAAAACAGTAAACTCTGATGCATGAATTAAGATGAGTAATTCTACTGAATCAAACATAAAATAATCAAGTTTTCCCCACTAACACTAACCCAAACAAAAAATCAGTCAGGCAAAGAAAAATTAATATAAAATTGCATGACTATAGCATGTGAAAGTATTTTTCAACTTTTAAATTTATATATTTATTTAAATTTAGATTTTCTCTTTACCACCACGTAAAGAACAGTTTTACAAAAATATAGTTTTTGTCTTTGTGTCAGCAAGCCAGAAATAATAAGCTGTTTTCTTCTTGTATCTGAAAGAACTTTAAGGAAAAAAATTTAAGTGAGACTAATATAACAAAGTGATGTTTGAAACAAATAGATAACAATTTACATCTTCAAATGATTTTTAAAAGCCTAAGTTGAATTCTTTTATAACTGGATAGTAATCATATAAAATTGATTAGTTCAAATGGAAGAATCTAAGTTTCATTAAGCAATTCAGATGCATTGCTAGTTATGATCAACTATGTTCTAACTGCCATTAGCTGGTTGGCTTTGGGACCAGAATTCAGGTCCCTCTGACTCAGTCAACTGAGCAGGTAAGCATCATAGGACTCATGCTGTGTCTGGCCTTTTAGTCTATATTCTGTAGGCAGGCAATAAGCTCATTGTCCTTTCTTCCTCACACCCACAACAACCCCAACCCTTAAGCATTTCCTGACGTCTGAAACAAAATATGCACTAATTCTATAAATGCAGAAGAGTAGAAAAAAACAAATTATACAATAAAAAATAAATTTTAATTATAGGGCTTTACAATGTAGCTCTGGTCTTTAAAAATTATGGTGGGAGGGCTAGATCAGTGGTGCTAGATAGAAGAGGTAAGAGGAAAATGGGATATGCATAGGCAAGCTACTGCTGGGTCCACCAGCCCCATTCCTCCTGATCTCAGGTATGCTCATTTCAATTCCAAAACCCAAAACTAGTCATGAAGAAAGAGTCCAAACACACTGTCTGGAAAATCTCAATCCTCCCACCTGGAAAAATCTTCACAGCAGAGGTGAACTATCAGCTTTAACTAAAATGGAAAAGCAAGGCAATGGTGAGGTTCTGGAAACAGTAGCATGGATCTCTTTCGTCATGTTGACCTTGAATCTTTCCATATGCAGCCTAAGAATCATATATCTATATCTGCAGAGTCACTCTTCTTAAAGTTGTCGAGGTATCATAAAGCAAAGAGTCACAGAAAAATTTCTAGTGCATTTAACATTCATGCATTCCACAACCTAAAAGCGTCACTAAAAATTCAGGCAATGGAATCAGACAGCCTAGTTCAAATCCAGTCACACCCCAGCATGGGGTTTGGGACAAATCATATTCTCTTCCTAAACTTCAACGTGCAAATGGGTTTGGTCAGAGGATAAAATGAGAATGCATTTAAACACTCCCTGTTATGCCGAAACCGGTTTGGCTCAGTGGATAGAGCGTCGGTCTGCAGACTGAAAGGTCCCAGGATCGATTCTGGTCAAGGGCATCTACATTGGTTGCGGGCACATCCCTGGTAGGGGGTGTGCAAGAGGCAGCTGGTCGATGTTTCTAGCTTTCTATCCCTCTCCCTTTCACTCTGTGGCAAATCAATAAAATATATTTTTAAAAATAATAAACAAACAAACAAACACTCCCTGATGCAAGGTTCAAGTTTTTGGTGAATAATACTAAGAGTACTAGGTGTACCGGTTAATAATGCAGATTTTATAATCAAAGAAAACACGATGATTTCAAGAGAAACATCAAAAGTGCTTTATTTAAAGTTAATGTCCATCGCTAGCTACACATTTCCCCCATCTTTCAGGTAATTTGTGGATACCATTCCAGTAGAACTTTCTTGTTTTGAGGCAAACCATTCAGAGACCCAATTCTCCACTTCTTCATATTTTTGAAGTGCTGCTCAGAAAGTGTGCATGTCATTGATCGGACCAAGTGGTAATCTGAAGGAGCAAGGTCTGGTGAATTCGGTGCATGGGTTAATACTTCCCAGGCAAGATCTTTTAACATGTCTTTAACTGGTTTTGAAGTGTGTGATGGTGCGTCATCATGAGGCAAAATTACTTTGCCATGTCTTCTGGTTCATTCTGGTTGTTTCACAATCAAAGCCTTGTTCAAATTGATTATTTGTTGTCGGAAGCGATCAGTATTAACTATTTCACCTGGTTTTAGAAGCTCATAATACACCACACTTTCCTGATTCCACCAAATGCAGAACACTGTCTTCTTCCTGAAGCAATTTGGCCTTGCAGTCGTTGTTGATGGTTGACCTGGATCAACCCATGATTTTGTGCATTTGGAATTCTCAAAATAAATCATTTTTTATCGCCAGTCACAATTTGATGCAAAAAAGACTTTCTTTTGTGCAGCTGAAGCAACATTTTACTGATTGACTTAGTATTTGTTTTCCATTTGTCTTTCGATTAGTTGATGTGGCATCCATTTTCCTTCAAAATCTTTCCCCTTGCTTGTAAACGATCAAAAATTATTTGCACGGGGGTATAGCTCAGTGGTAGAGCATTTGACTGCAAAAATTATTTGCTGAGCAATGTTTAATCTTTCTGCAAGTTGTTTTTGAGTTTGACATGCATCTTCATCAAATAATGCTTGTAATTGTTGGTCTTCAAATTTTTTCGGTTGACCTGGATGTTCTTTTTCTTTCACATCAAAATTATCACTTTTAAAGTGTTTAAACCAGCTTTCATAAGTATCCTGAGATAAAGCATGTTCACCATAAGCTTCCCAAAACATACGATAACTTTTTCTTCAAAATAAAGTAATGAATTAAAACTTCCCGCAAATGCTCTTTTTTGGGCATGAAATTTGACATTTTCAAGCGTAAAAATATGTATGATGTTAACACCTTCAGAAAATTTGACATATCAAGTTTTGAAGCTTGCTGTCGATACAACAAAATAGCATAAATCAAATCACATATATATCAACAGATGTGTAACTTCATCTATTGAAAAAAATCTGCATTATTACCGGTACAGCTGGTATGTACACATGTGGTCAAGTGCCTCACAATTACCTGATGTTTATATTTCCTACACTGTCCTCTTCATTAAGCATGTGTTCTTTTAAACAAATTCATTAATGTGTACAAAATTTTGGATTTGACTAGAGAACAAGTTATTCACTCACCAAAAAAGCCATACATTTCCCCTAAGCAGCAAAAAGTGATAAACATTTTTGTGCCTGTTTTGAAAGCTTACCTCAGTTGGTAATAATCATGAAAAAAAGGAGGCTAAGTCCTTTCTCTAAAGGTTTCCAGAATGGAAAAGGACACCTGGTTCAATAATATTGGGTAGCTATTTATAATTTTTAATTGGATATTTCTCCTACAGATGTATCAACACAGAAAAATGGGGACTAGAGTGGAACAAGTCCACATTTGAAAGCCGCTACCTCTGTGTTACATAAAGCTTCCTAGAGGCAGAGCAGAATAAAGAGAGCTACTACAGGGTTTCCCCGAAAATAAGACATCCTCCGAAAATAAGACCTAGCGCGTAGAAAGATAAGACATCCCCTGAAAATAAGACCTAGCGCAACTTTGGGAGAAAAAATTAATATAAGACACTGTCTTATTTTCGGGGAAACAGGGTAGTATCAAGGCAGAGGACAGAAGCTTGTGCCAGAGGGAGGAGCCAGGGAAAAGAGTTGTCCTGCTTCATGAGAAATCAGCCTTGCTTACTGCCCAGGCCCAGCTCTCTAAATTGGTACTTAAGATTTCTCCTAGACCTTTTTTCTTCCTGGACTGTCCTTCTCTGAAGGAACAGAACAAAAAAATTATTATAGCTTTTTATTTCAAGGTGTCAGGTTTTTCTATAGCAACATCACTTTTATTAAATAAATATGTGAAAAAAAATATGAAATTTCACTTGTCAGTGATTTTTCAAGAATGCATGTATTTTAAGCATGCTTCAATTTAACACATCCTAATTTAATAATCATCCATTATTACAAAGGTTAGAACTTCAATGAAAAATACCAAAAGGATTATTCATCACTATCAATTACTTCTGGTACATAAACATATTCCTGCTTATAATTATGGCATTGATAAGCACTACATACAGGCATTGTTCAGTCACTGAAATGAATGATGTAAAAAGCACCAACAGCCCTAGCCGGTTTGGCTCAGTGATAGAGTGCCAGCCCATGGACTGAGGGGCCCCAGGTTCAATTCAGGTCAAGGGCACATACCTCATTTGTAGGTTCCATCCAGGCCCTAGTTGGGGTATGTGGGAAGCAACCAATCCATGTGTGTCTCTCACATCGATGTTTCTCTCTCTGTGTCTCTCCCCTTCCCTTCCACTCTCTCTAAAAATCAATGAAAAAATATTGTCAGGTGATGTTTAACAACATAAAATTTAAAAAGAACCAACAATAGGCCTTTACCAATCATTTATTTAACAGTCTTGATATCCATCAAGTGCACCTCATGAAAATGTGGACATTTTTTTCAAACTGGGAAGCTGTTCTTGTCTTCCAGGAACTCTGTTCCAGCCTCCTGTGGCCAGTCTTTTCCCTCTGCCACTGATTTCCAATTCCGTGACACTTCATGCTTTGTGTGTGGCTATATAAGCTAAGGTAGTAATAATCCAACCTTATGTGCCAGGAAGAAATTCAAACTCCAAAGTAAATGAAACTCAGTGCAGTGGATTTTATCTTCCTAAACAACAATCTATAGTCTCCACCAGAGGCAGGATTAGAGATTACACAAACTGGTGAAAGAAAAATAAAGCGGAAGACTGGAACTATCTGTATCATGGGAGAGGTTGGATCAGAAAGGGAAAAAGAAAAATTCTTACTTTTTCCTTAAACAAATATGAAAATTCTATTTGTTTAGATATGTGACCTTCAGAATGATCATGATACACCAGAAATGATTTTCACATTAAGGAAATACAAACAAAAGCAACAAATAAAAGGCTCACAATCATAAAAAGGTTATTTAAAAAAACAACCTCAAGTACATTTCCTAATTTGCTTTGGAGAGATTATGTGCTGGGGTTACTTTAAAATACTACAAGTTATTAAAATTGTAACTTTAAATATATAAGTGCTATATTTCATGCAGAGTTATTTCCATTTAATGCATTATAATTTGTGTTTGTTATTTGTTATAAGTTTAATGCAAATAAGTCCTTTGTACTGGATTATAACTGTAGAGACTCCTATACATAATTTACCAATCCATCATTTCTCAACTGTTAACAGAATAAATTAAATCAATTCTCTCAGATTAGTAACATGTATACTTTTTGTTATGCACACAGAAGCTTTTACTTGGTCAGCCAAAGAAACAACTATTAGAGGCACACTTATGCATTAAATGAAAAGGTAATTTCAAACTTAAAAAAATGAAAAGTCAACATTTGGTAATTAGGTAAATGTTACATGGAATTTAATGTGTTCTTAAAGTAAATCTCCAAGAAATATACTAACTGATTTTCAAAGAAAAATTCAGACCTAATTTCTAAGGTTATTTTTTTATCCCAATATTAGCATATAAGAAAAACCCAGAAACCCACCTCAGTGTGTCTTTGATGTAATGCATTATATTCCTTCTTCAGTTCTGCTTCTCTTTCTTCAAGTCTGCTAACTGAAATTAAGATACATACACTTAATCAAAACAAAGTAGAAGAAATTTACTTGAAAATTCCATCTGAAAATCTTGGTATGGGTTATCTATAATCCTTAGCAACTTTAGGGCTCAGTGTCCCATATGAAATTCTTCACAAAGCTAATAACCTCATTTTATCATCCCTAACAAATAAAACTTTCAGAGTGGGATAAATTGGGTTTTAAAAAATTAAACACCAGACTGCTTTTCCTAAAATCCATGTTTATCAGGTCATCCCCCCAAATAGGTTTTCAACAACACTTTACAAATCACCTCAAAAAAGTTGTAACCTGGGATCAGGGCCCAAATTGTTAATTTCTAACATTATTCAAGCTCTTTTTCCCTACTGAGCCATATGTGAAAAAGTAATTATTTGTTAGTACTTTTTCTCCTTCTGGTCTTAATTTCCGGGACTTATCTTCTTTTATTTAGCTCCCTCTGCTGATGGAGTTTGTGAGTGGCACTGTAGTAGTATTCAGAGTACAACTTTTTGATATACATACATACATATGTACAAATGTACATTTTTGACTAGAAAAAAAGTCTTTTTAAAAAGTTTTAGAATATTGGGACAGGATTTCACAGGAAAGAGTGGCAATAGAAAGGACTGATTCTGCCGGGACCAGTTTGGCTCAGTGGTAGAGCGTCGGTCTGCAGACTGAAAGGTCCCAGGTTCGATTCTGGTCAAGGGCATGTACCTTGGTTGTGGGCATATCCCCTGTAGGGGGTGTGCAAGAGGCAGCTGATCGATGATTCTTTCTCATCGATGTTTCTAACTCTCTATCCCTCTCTCTTCCTCTCTGTGAAAAATCAATAAAATATATTAAAAAAGAAAAAGAAAAGAAAAGAAAGGACTGATTCTGATAGGAGGTGGAGTTCAAGCAAGACCACAAAAAAACTACAGCACTAAAGACAGATGGTGATGAGAGTATGGGCACTGTCACCATAGACACAGGAACATAAAATCACACTGGTGGTAAGACAGAGGGGAGACTGGCCAGCCTGGTGGAGCCCATACTGACTAAGAGGCAGGGAGAAATAAAAGTGGGGCTAGTGGAGCTTGTAAAGATACTCAGTCCTAGCTGGTTTGGTCAGTAGACAGAACGTCGGCCTGGGGACTGAAGAGTTCAGGATTCGACTCTAGTCAAGGGCTCATGCTGGGTTGTGGGCTAGATCCTAAGAAGGGGGCGTGCAACAGGCAGCCGATCAATGATTCTCTCTCATCACTGATGTTTCTAAATCTCTCTCTCTCTCCCCCCCCCCTTCCTCTCTGAAAGCAAAAAAAAAAAAAAAGAAGTATTTTAAAAAAAAGATACGATACTCATGTAAGTCTGTTTGAAGGCCTAGTATTAATTGGACATGCTCTCTTGGTGTAAGGGTCAGACACCTGCAAACAGGCAAGACTGGAAGCAGCAGCCTGTGAGCGCATCAGAAGACTGTAGAATTAACTGCTATGAACCATTACAGCACACACGAATGTTTTCATACACATCAGAGACCAAACAACACATAGCGTGTGCTGTCGCTAAACTTGTGCTGGTGTATGTAGCTTTACTTGCCACCTTTGTTTGAATATTTTGAAAATATGTCACTAATTTGGAAAAGTGTAGTTCTGACTTTTGTTTCTAACGAAGCCTCTACGTTGGCTCATTAAATTCACACCTGAGAATAAACACACTATAGTTCCCATGGTGCACACTTTATTGTGCCAGGCAAGAGCTGTGAGCAATAAAAAGCAAGCTTGTAATGCAGATGTGCTGTGATAGCACAATATGTACTGAAACCATTATTTTTAGTGCAACTTCTCCACTTTTTATTTAAAAACAGGAAATCCAACAAATTGAAATATTCAGTAACAATTTCAAAATTAAACATTTTTTACTACCTGTCAATTAAATTGATCTGAAAGCTTAATCCGAAAACTACTGGGGAAACCTATCTATTTTTAATTGAGCATATTTAAGATTTTCTTGGTATTATGCAGAAACCAACAAACAAAAAAGTAACCCTGAAGGCTGAGGCTAAAATAAAACCACAACTTATCACCTAAAACCCTCAATTTCAAATTTGTGTCCTACAGTAAACCTTAATTGTTCTTGTCAGTTAACTTCGTATCAAAATAAATTTGTCATCACTAACAGCTAACATTAGTTCTCATTATATTATGTACCATGCACTGTTCTATGTATTTTATACAAACTAACTTATTTGAGCCTGACATTAACCGTATGATGAAAGTATTATTACATTCATTTTAGAAATGAGGTAACTGAAGCAAATAGGAGTTAAGTAACTTGCCTAAAGTCACACAGCTAATAAGTGGCAAAACTAAATCTCCTAATGGAGGAGTCTGGGTCCAGACTATGTTTTTATTTACCAGGCTATATACTGCCTCTCAAGAAATACTCTTTTTCATCTGTTTTATATACTGGAGTATACCTTAAATTTTTACTTGTGAAACAACAAACACGTGTATAGAGTACTTATGGAAAGAACCAGTTACTAGTACTTCAACTCAAACGTATCAAAATGCCAAGTAAAATACTGGCCCAACTTTATTCATAATGGAAATGCATTTTAAAACCAAGTGCAACACTATTACATACCCATAAGAATAGTTCAAAGGAAAAACACATACATCAGATAAGGGTGTGGGGCAATTGGAATGTGAATATACTGCTGGTGTGAGCAAAAAATTGATACACCCAATTTGAAAACTGGCAAGATTTCAAAAAGTTAAATATATGCAAGCCTCTGGCAAAACAAGTTCATTTGCTAAGAAGTGCATACATGTGTCCACCAAAGGACATTTAAAACAATGCTCAAAGTAGTACTATTTGTAATAATCCAAACCTGTATTATTCAATAGCAGAATGGATAAATATTCAAGTACCAGAATACTACACAACAAAGATGAATAAATTATTGCTAAACACAACATCATGAACTAATCTCACAAACAGGACATTAAGGGAAAGAAACAAGCAAACAAAATGTAAATCTAAAACGAATGTGTTAGAAGTCAGGATATTGGTTACCTTTAGGGAGGAGTCAGTGACCTGAATGTACTGCGTGCACAATCCCACTCCACCCCAGTCCAAACACAGTGTGTTCCCATTCGCACTTTCCTTGGCTTGAAAACTCATTCTTTATGTCCTCCGGCAACTGCTATAAGTTCAACATATAGCACAGGATTTAATCAGCCTACTTAGAACTATTACAAACAACGTGTACTGATTCATCATTAAAATGTATAGGGAAAAGAGGAAAAATGTTACTAGATTAGAGATTTAAAATAAGGAAAAAAAGATAAGCATCCTAGGAGGATAAATTGATACTCGTTTGAGGGTTATGTAGGTGATATGTTAAAATAATCAATGTATATATCCTTTGACACAATACTACCATTCTTATTTATCCTACAGAAACACACCAATGCCCAAAGATATGAAAAAGGATGTTCTTATATAATATGATAACTCCCAAATTGGAACTAGCCCTAAATTTTGTCAATAGTTGGTTGGTGAAGTGAATTATGATAGTCATACAATGGACCACAAAACACTGAGTTTGCTACTTCCAAGTTATATTACCTCAGGTATACTAACCTCTCTGGGCCTCAGTTATTTATAACTGACAAATAATGGCAGCATATCAGAGATGATATTAGGATTAAGTGAGTTATTACTTGTGAAGAGTATAAAATAGTGCCTGAACAAGTAATGTTAAAAGGAAATGTATTATATCTATATGTACTGACATGGGATAGTGCCTAGAACTCAATGGAAGAGTGCGGAATATTGCTGTATCTGAAAATACAAAATACAAAACCATTTACAATGTGATGCCACTAACATGTCAACAAAGCCAAAACTGAACTAATTGTCTCTCCCAAACCTGACTTGCCCATAATCTTCTTATTCAGGCAAAAATCTTCAGCTATCCTTTAGCTCATCTCTTCCACATAACACATCCAGTCTATGAGCAAATTGTCTGTTTTACCTTCAAAATAAACCTAAAGTCTAACCACTTTTTTCCACCCCATCATATCCATCTCTTGCCTGAATTATTACAATTATATCCTGAGCAGTGTCTTTGCTATAGTCTTTGCTCCTTTATATTCTCAAAATAGTAACTGGGTAAAGTCAGATAGTGATTGCACAAAACCTTGTCACATTAAAAAAAAACAACACCTTACTAAAATATATATAGAGAGAAAGATAGATAGATTGATCAATTGATCGATCCATAGGCACCATTCCTGGCCTAGTCCAGTAAAACCATCCACACATAATCCTCCATTTCCTTTCCCCTTTCCTCCAACATTGCAGCTGTAAGCTGAAAAGAACCTGTGCCTCCAAAAGAACCACTCATCTACGGGAAACATCCATTCTGAACGTCCGAATAAAAAATAACATATAACATTTGAGTCATTATATATGTTTTTGTAGTTTATGTCTGTTATTCTAGATGACTTTCTGACGATTATTTTTCTCTCCTCCAGCAAGTACCTTGTCAAAAAACTGTCTATGTTGTAACATATCTCATGTGTTTTATTTTTTTTATCTGTACTGTGGCTCTAAATACTAGTATTTAGTCTTTTAAACTGTGATTTACCCATCAAGATCAATTGTGATCTTGTTTTTCTGACAATATTTGCATTACTCAGCACAATGACGTTGTCAAAGGACTCCATTTTTTCAAGGCCTAATTCTCATGAGATGCTATTCTATCTAATAAAAGTAATATGCAAATTAACCTTCACTCTGCTATACCCACACGCCACACCCACTAGCCAATCAGGAGCGAGTATACAAACTAACCCAACCAAGATGGCTGCAGCCACAGAGCAAGCAGGAGGCTTGGGTTTCCCCAGCAATGGAGGAAGTCAAGCTTTCCGCACACCCTGGCCAGCCCAGGCCTCCACTCAAGGCTAGAAAGTTTCAATTATAGATGATAAATTCCAACAAAAATGGCTA